GAAAAGGCATTTGACAAAATCCAATATCCATTCATGATAAACACCCTGAAGAAAATAGATAGACCTTATCTCAGTCTGATAAAAGCCATTTAGGATAAACTTACTGCCAGGATCATATTAAATGGGGGAAAACCTGCAAACTTTCCTTCTAAAATCAGGAACTCAAGGAGGTCCACTATCAGTTCCTGTTGAACATAGTACCTGAAACATTAGCCAGAGCAATCAAGCAAGAGGAAGAAAAAAAGGGATGGATAGATACATGAGATAGTATATTCAAACAGTGGAATGTTTGGCAATAAAAAGCAAGAAATCATGTACTGATCCATGTTGTATGTATGCAAAGTGAAAGAAACCAGACACAGAAGCCATGTGTTACATGATTTCATTTATGTAAAATATCCAGAATAGGTGAATGTGTAGAGACAGAAAGTAAGTGAATGGTTGCCAGAGGCTGGGGACAAAGTGAGGATGGATTGATGGGTAGGGACAGTGAGTGACTACTAATGGATATGAAGTTTCTTTACAAGCAGAAAGATACATGTGAAAAAATTTACAATAAGTCTTATTTTCATCTTGTTTGGAGAGTGTACAATAAAGAATTTTCATACATTTTGAAAGTTTGGAAAAAAGTTTTTAGAATATGATTGGAAAGAAAATTTAGGAAAAAGTTCAGTAGTAATTTTTTTCTACTAGATTTTCTGTAACTTTTTAGTTTTAGGAGCATGACACAATCTAGCTTTTAAGAATCATAGTTTTTGGGCTGGGGATTTAGCTCAGTGGTTTTGCCACCTGCTGCGCTAGCGCGAGGACCCGAGTTCGATCCCCAGTACTGAAAAAAAAAAAAAGAATCATAGTTTTTAATGTGATTCACCATGTGGTTTATTCATAGTGTAATTCCACATTTCTGACTGAATTTATTAATCCTAGAGGCAGTTGCAAATGCATATTAAATTTGATAGTGCTTGAAAATTCACTTTCCCTGGTTAACATTGTATAAATGCTCCATATGTTACCATTTGTTTAAGGAAAATGTGATTTACTTATTAGCTTGAGTAAAACATTAACTAATTCCATATAAATCTGGTCATATTATTTGCCTAGCTGTAATTTTAAAGCAACTAGGGTTACAGTGCTATGATTAAATTTTTTTTCCTACAAAACATCAGATGAGAGGGAATTGGTTTTTTCTTTAGGTTTTGAAAACATGTCATTGCTATATTATTGGAGTAACTGTACTATTAGACTAACATGTTATAATTTCAGAGTCACAGATTCAGGAGGTGAGTCTATCTTTTCCAGCTGGAAGATTTGCTCTGGACTGGGCCGGGGAATTAGCTCACTGGCTCCACCTCCTGCTTCAAAAGCATAAGGTCCCCAGTTTGATCCCCAGTTTGATCCCCGGTACCAAAAAAAAAGATTTGCTCTGTCCTGAACTTGCTGAGCAAAGGAAACTGTTGCTTATTTTTCATACTTACTAGAATGAATAGACAAAGGATGTACTCCCAAAGACTTTGTCTGAATATCTAGTACATTTATACTAACCTTTATCTTGTTAAGGTCAGTAAGATCAGCTCATAATCAAGGACAACTCTGAAAAACTCACAGTCCACCCTCTCATACCCCAGTAGACATGTGTTTTGTTCTGTACAGTAAAATTATATGTATTGCTGGTTCAAAAGCCGAAATTTGGTCTTGGGGAAGGAAAATTATTTTTGATAACTAAATGGTAGCAGAGTTTCTCTGCCTGACTCTATTGTGAATTATTTAACTTAACAGTTTTTAGTTGTTTGTTACTTTTCAAGCACACTTGCAATGTTTAAGGTCTGAAAACCAAACTTTTTCCTTGCTCAGAAGGTAACGTTTTTAATTATTTAGGTTTGTGAGAAGTGTCTCTTACTATTTAAGGTGTAGAATTTTCTGGTCTCCACAGGAGTTCTTGCTCATGGTTGCATTGCTGGAGACCAGTTTGTCATTCCCTGGGGACAACATCAGAGAATTCAACAACAGCTGTATCAACAGAGATATTCTTGTGATTTAAAAAGTACTTTGAGGATTGGCATTTTGTCCCGAAATACTAGCTTTGTTGTCTGGAGGAGGAAAAGATTTGGCAAAGTTACTTCAAAAAGCAGCAGGTTTTTTGCATTGTAAAATGGAAACATTAATTCATTTATTTGGTAAAAAAAATTCCATTTCATTAAATGGTGCTTTCTATTTCTCATTTCATTTGCACATTTGACCATTTCAGTATGTGGTATTTATTCTCCAAAGATGCCATTAATTTTTTTTTTTTTTTTTTTTTTACTTTTTGGTTACAAACTGCCCTTCAAATTCTTATAGGCTATTTTAGACATTTTTGGCTAACATGGAAATAAACTCCAGTCTTTATAAACTGTAAGCCTGCCCTCTTAACAGTAGACTTGAAATCTCTTTCCCTTCCCACAGTTTGGTGATCATACAACAAAAGACCAAAATGTTTCTTCTGTGTATATTAGCTATATTCTTTGGGATTTTTTTCCAATTTTTTTATTTTTTGCTAGTACGTGTTTGCAGTACACAATGATTACATTCCTTATGGAGAGTTGGTACATGGACATAACACATCTCAATTCTTTTTTCATCCCCTTTGCCTCCTCTCCCCTCCCTTCATCTCATGGTCCCCTTCCCTTTGCTGTCTTTCTATTTACTATTACCTATCTTGTATTTTGCTCTTTATTTATATTTTGGTTTTCTCATAAAACAGAAAGTTATGTGTCTGATTTATTTCACTTAACATATGATCTCAAGGTGCATCCATTTTCCCACAAATGACTCACATTTATCCTTCTTTAGGGCAAAGTAGTATGAATTTGCAGAGCTTTCTTTAGGAACCTTTCACATTTGATCAGTGCTTTTCTATAGATTATGATCCCAAGTGATATTTTCATTTAATTCCTTTCCTTTAAAAGGGCAGCACTTAATGAACTTTATACATTTAAATGAATACTCTTAGAATCTTATCAATAGGGGAGGGTTAAATTATTGAGAGAATGAAGAATGGGAGTAATTTGTTTTCTGTAAAAACCACAAAAATGAGACAGACTCCTGACTCTGGAGAGTTGCTTTACCATTTAGGCTCCTTCACGGAATGATAAAAATTATCTGGCTGAGTTATGACATTCAAACATTTTTTTCTGTAGACTTAGTGTACACTGAATTTATAAACAATGGCAAAAATCAGATTTTGAAAATTCCTAGGGAATTAACTTAGCTGATTATTTTCTAACTAAAAACCAATTCATACCACCGTGGAAGTTAAAAAAATTTTTTTTTCATTTTAAACAAGTTTATTTAAACAGCAAGACACTTGATTATTTCTTTTCAGAGTAATTACCCCTGCCTAAACATAGATCACCATACATGTAACAGTTATACACAAAAATTATAAAATTGTTCTTAGGTTTAGTGTTCAACAAAAAAATTAAAGTTCTCCAGTTGAACAAGGTCTGCAAGGATTTATTTTTTGTTAAAGCAGAATAACTTACTGGAACATAAAGATGCTTGCCACTAATGGAGAATGGGAATATTTTCACAGAATGAGTATTTTCCTCATCCTATCTCAATTTGATGTCAGTCTAAACATATTGGCCATTTAGTAAAAGAAGAAAATTTAGTGTGCTTGTGCACTCACACCAGTTGCTCAGGTTCCCCTTTTAGAGATAACTCCTCTCCACTGCTAGAACCCACCAGATGTATCTTCATCCTACAGTTCCAACTGTGCAGGTGTGTCTGCTTCATTGACTGACCACTGGTCAAATGGGAATCTAATCTGCCTCATTGAGAAATTCTGCTGCTCACCATATGCTTTCATTAGTTTACTAAGTGTGTGTGCCTGTTACTATGAATCACAGAACCATCCTGCACCCCCACCTTCAAATGAATGTGATTGTTATTCTCAGTCTTGACTCCTTTGGGCTTTTCATCCACCATGGTGAACGCTTAAGTCTCCTCAGTCTCACCTTCACAAAAGAGATACCAGGTCTACACCAAACAAGCAAACAAGCAGCATTAAGAGTACCTGAAGGAGAAGTGGCAGCAATAGAGGGCACAAGTGTACACACTCTCTCCCCTAAAATTATTACCTTACCCATGTACAAATGAAAAGAAAATTGATTGTGTACTTATTCTTTTCTTCATAATAGATTGAATATAACCCACCACTTGATTATTCATAATTTACTTGACAATGTGGTATTTTGGTTTAATGTATAATACCAGTAGATTTTTTTTTTGTTCCTCTAACATTTATTAACTACTAACTGTAAGCCAGACACTGCTGTAGGTGTGATATCAATATAGCTATGTACTAAATAGTAGCAGACTGCAGTTCTTTGATTCTTGGCTAAATTTTGTGATTTCTCCTCCTTGCTACTATTTAGCATAATGTTAAGAGCATTAATTCAAATTTAAATCCTATCACTATTATACATGTGATTATAATAGTAATACATTAAACACTTGAAAGAATAGTGACCTTTTTAGTATTATAGGATGATTACTTCAGTTGTTTCATAATTTTTACCTTAATTTTTGCTTCTGCAACTGGGCCTAATGATGTATCATATTTCATTATAGTGAGGAAAAAAGAACATAGCTATACTGTTAAGAACCATAACCTGGTACATAGTGAATACTCTAGCAAGTGTTAGTTATTATTACTACTATGATTATTATTACCACAATTTCACAATGCTTTCATCCAGCTCACACTATCTTCTATTAAAATTTGTCTAATCTTGTAAAATAACCAAATTTATTAAAACAAAGCGCAAAATGAAAATAAATTGCTTGTGTGCAACCTCAGTTCATCTCCAAGAAAATGGAGTGTAGGAATGCTGTGTGTGCCTTGGTATTAAATTTTGGCTACTGAGAACCCTTTTATACTTAATAAGCCATGCTTATAAATAAATCTTGAATAAAAAAATATAAAATTAAAATTTATCCTGATAGGAACTGTTTTTTAGGGTAAAGGATCTTGAAGAAGCTCTGGAAGCAGGAGGTTGTGATCTTGAAACTTTGAGAAATATAATTCAAAGGAGACCTATACCTGCTGAACTGAGGGCCAAAGTTTGGAAGGTAACTGGAAACTAAAGTGTAATAGTTTAAAAAAATATTAAAAATTTTTTATTTTCAGCTCTCTGAAAAGTCTTATTTTATAAATATGCTGCATCTATGGAATGTTTGTTAAGCAGAGCAGCTTACTAAATATATAACTCTCCACTGCATTTAATAGTAGTGGTTTAGATTTTAGAGGGTAATTTTTTTGTAGCCATTAGTAATGTTTTTATGAAAACTAATGAAAGGGGAAGTGCAACTAGTAAGTAAAATAGCAGATAAAACAACACATAGAGATAATCTCAGCTGTGTTTTAAAAATTGAAATGTGCTCTGGATGTTGGTTATAGAAGATTTTTTCTGTATTCTAATGCATATGTAATATTTAAAACTTTTATTAAAGTTAATATTTTGCTATATATTTGTGAAAATATGATCACAAAAGAAATAAAATATGTTACCTACTGCTCATAGGTACAACATATGTTTAGACGTATATGTTTTTCTTTTTTTTCTATGCACATATATACTTAAAGAAATGGAATTGTAACTGTAATAGCATTGTGAATGTTTTATTTTAGAAATTTAAACTGATATCAAAGTGTGGAGACTTGTACAATGAACTGTGGTGTACTCATAATGCAGCTTTCACTGTTAGCAACATGTGGCCAATCTTTTTTTGTGTGTGCGCTGGGGATCAAACTCAGGACCTTGCGCTTGCGAGGCAGACGGTGGAACCACCGAGCTAGATCCCTGGCCCATGTGGCCAATCTTGTTTGATTAGTATCCTCATCCTTTCCTTCCCACCCTACCCACTGGATTATTTTTAAAGCACATCCTTGCTTGTATACTAAAATACTTTATTATGAAAGCCTGAAAAATAAAGATGTTTGAAGTAACCCCAAAGCCACTAAACACATAAAAGATTAGTAAGAACTTAATATCATAAAATGATTTCATTTGTCTTGTTTTTTTCTTATGGGTGATTTGTTTAAAATTGAATTCTAGGACCAGGGATTTAGTTCAGTGGCACCATGTCTGCCTTGCAAGTGCAAGGTCCTGAGTTCGATCCCTGGTACCAAAAAAAAATTTGAATTCTACAAGGCCCTCTTGTTGTGGTTAGTTGGTGTGTCCCTTAAGATTCTTTCAATACATTGTTTTTGTACCTACTTTTATAAAACCTTACAAAATAGCAACAACATTTTTCTCATGTCATTATTTTATATAATTTTTATTTGTAGATGGCATAGATGCAGGACTTTTTTCTTTGCCAATATCACATTTTGTTTTTTAAATTTTTAAAACAGCAACAAAAATGATTGCTTGAAATAAAGTTATATAAGTATGTAATTATTTTGTGTATTCAGTGAATCAACCATGACATAGTAAAATCTAATATAGGAAGATTTAAAATAATTCTGTTGGTTCATTGTTATGTAAGTTCATAATTTGGTGAAGTATACTTTACTTGCTTTGTGATCTTCATTATTCCTCATTTGAGGCCTTTTGTTATTGTAGCAATTTTCCAAGACTGAGAAATAACATGAAGCTGATTGCTTTTTTAAATCTGTCTTCCAGATTGCTTTGAATGTTGCAGGTAAAGGCGATAGTTTGGCATCATGGGATGGTATTTTAGATATGCCAGAACAAACCACTGTTCATAAAGATTGTTTGGGGCTTATTGGTAAGTTTAGTAATTATTTTCAGCCAAACATTTTTCTCTTCTTATAATTTAGAATATGTTGAATTTGAATCTTAGGCATAATACCCAATGCCCACAACTTAAAGAAGTAGAGATTTATTTTGGCTTACATTTCAGAGGTTTCAGTCCAAGTTTGGCAGGCTTAAAAACTGAAGCCGCATAGAGGAAGGATCTGGTGGAGGAAAGCTGTGCACCTGCAGCCAGGAAGCAGAGAGAAAAAGGTGGAGCTGTGAGGAAGATAGACTCATCCAGGTTCGACCCTCGTGATCTGACTTCCCTGATCAGAGGCCCCCCTCCTAACAGCAAGTCAGCAGTAGCACCCCAGTGGTCTAATCCTCTTCCAAACCCCTCTACCCCACCTATGAGTGCATGAGGCTGTTGGGGGACTTCTAGATGTAAACCCTAACAGCTTTTAGTTAGTTTTAGACCTTTTCTTTTGAAATTTTTATGAAATATTGTTTAATAATTTAGAGACCCTAGGTTTTACTGTTTCTTTTGTATTATATGTCCAATTTTCAAGTATATTTATAGTTTTGTTAGCCTTAAACTTGGTTTTTGTATAATTAAGGTCTATTTGATTATATGCAGTCCTCATATAAAAGGAATTGTATTCTAAAACTTTATGAATGATAGATCACAATCTACTATTGAAAAACTGCAACAAATCATGGGTTGTTTCCAATCACCCCATGAAGCCTATTTTAATTTACAGTGTAGACTATTAATTTAGTTTTATTTTTTCTAATTCATCTATAATCCATTGGAATCTTGTTTTTTTTTGTATCATATTTTAATTAACTTATTGGTTAAATAAATTTTTATGTACTAATTACTCAAACATTATTGCTAGTGTGGACAAAAAAACACGGTACTTTGGACTAGAGATTTGAGGGTGGTATATGATGTATCACATATATTTGAGATTATTCTGATTTTGTTTCCATTTATAAATTTGTTCACATTTAATTTGAATTTTTATTTCTGTTTATTCCATTTGTAAACTGTCAGTACAGTATAAGGCCATAGGTAGTATTATGTTATTTCAGCAACTTTATTAAAAAATAAAAATTATTGAAGAGAAGAAGGAAAGAAAGAAAGAGAATGAATGAATGAATTTGGTGGTTGGAATAAATTCTTTTCTTTCCCCTTTGAAAAGTTAAAGTAGGGCTGGGGATTTAGCTCATTGGTTTCCCTGCCTGCTGTGCAAGCACAAGGACTTGAGTTCGATCCCCGGTACCAAAAAAAAAAAAAAAAGTTAAAGTAGCAGCTGCTCTTTGTGATGTCGATAATAATCTGTTGTTTAGAAAACACTTTTTTGCTTTCCAGCAATGTACATTTAAGTTTATAAGAAAACTATTAAAGAGTTATTTTTTTCTTGTGTTTTGGACCTGTGAACCAGTAGTTACTAAATAAGTATGAGGAAAAATGCTCTCATGTAATTTTACTTTTGCCTTTGTCATGTTCTAAATGCATGCACAATTACCGGGCCTTTAACAGGTCTTTGGTAACTTTATTTTGATGTTTATTTTCTAGACCAGCTTTCGGTGCCAGAGGAGAAGGCAGCAGAATTACTTCTGGATATTGAATCTGTAATTACCTTCTATTGTAAATCACGTAATGTTAAATATAGTGCATCACTTAGCTGGATTCATCTACTGAAACCACTGGTGCAACTTCAGGTGCCACGAAGCGATTTATACAACTGCTTTTATGCTATTATGAATAAGTACATTCCCAGGTAAAATATGATTTAGTTATAGCTTTAAAAGTTTTCAATAAAGATCTAGTTTGCTTTGAGCTAGAGTTGTTGGAGTTACTTGATGGTAAAGTAAAAGGTTCAAATAATTTTTAAGGTTATTAGAACTGTACAAGTAATTGTTTTTTGACTTCACTTTTGTGGTTTTAAACAAAGGATTTTTGTTTATGTGGCATAACTCTTCAAATTTATTAGGTGTTATCTTTATTTTAGTGTCCTTACCTAGTTTTGTTTTTTAAATATAATATCTGTTACATTGTTTGGATGAAAACTTAAGATTTTGGACTACCACCTTAGTGTGGCCAGGATTAACTTCCTGGGTGAGTGATACAGTGAGATCAGACAGATGTGTAGGTAGTTGAGGTGGGAGTCATGGTGATGGGGCACTCACTGATGAAGCCAGAAAAAATTATTTCGGTTTCTAGTACTATTGATCAGATAGTCAAATTTTACAGTCAAAAGAAAGTTTAGACACCATTTAGACCAATGGCTTGGCTGTGCAGCTTAGATGCATATTAGAATGATGGAGGAGCTCTTAAAAATCTTACTGCCTATTTGTAAACCTAATTAATTACATCAAAATCTCTTGGTGGTGGGACTTTGGCATCAGTGTTTGTAGAGCTTTCTAGTTAATTCTTTTGTGCTGTCAAGGTGAAGAACTGCTATTCTGGGCTGAAAAGTTAACTACTATTTTTTACTTCCTATATATAGCACATTGAGAGTGTTAAACATATTTTTTTTTCCTAATTTAAACAGTGACCAATGTAAGGTAGGTATCTGATTTACAAAAACTAAAGCGAGAGAGATTAAGTTACTTTTTCAGGTTATACTTCTAGTGTGTGACTGAGGCTTTGAACCCATTTAAATAAGCATCGTGTTCTTTACTAATATAGTTTTCCATCTCAGTTGCTTGTTAGAATCAATGAAAGAATGTTTCTTTCCTTTAATAGTAACGTTATGAATTATTTACATACTATAAGATTTACCCCTTTTTTTTTTTGGTACCGGGGATCAAACTTGGATCCTTGCACTTGTGAGGCAGGTGGTAGAACCACTGAGCTAAATCCCCGGCCCAAGATTTATCCCCCACCTTTTTTTTTTTTGTACCAGGGATCGAACTCGGGACCTTGTGCTTGTGAGGCAGGCGGCAGAACCACTGAGCTAAATCCCTGGCCCCAAGATTTACCCTTTTAATGTGTACAGTTCACTAATTTTTTTTTTTTTTTTTGGTACTGGGGATCGAACTTGGGATCTTGCCACTTGCAAGGCAGGCAGCGGAACCACTGAGCTAAATCCCCAGCCCTTAAGTTTGATATAATCATAGAGTTGTACAAACATAATCATACTTTTAAAAACTTTTTTACAGCAAAAGAGTTATTGATACATTTTAAGCATACTAATAACATTCATTGTAGGGAATTTGCACCTGTACATACACAATCACCCTTTTAAAACACTTTGATCACCACAGAAAGAAACCTCATTCCCATTTAGTAGTTAGTTCTCCATTTCCCCCCAGTACTCTTAGCCCAAGGCAGATATTAATATACTTTCTGTTTCTGTTAATTTATTGTGGACATTTCATATAAATGGAACCATACAATATGTGTTTTTCTGCCTTCTTTCCCTTAGCATGAAGTTTTCAGGGTTCATCTGTGTTGTAGTATATATCATTCTTTCATCTGTTCTCTTTTTTTGCCAAGTAATATTTTATTGTATGCATATAACACATGTTATTTACTCATTCATCATTTGGATTGTTTTCACTTTTTGGCTGTTATGAATATGCCACTATGAATATTTATTTCTCTGGCATATGTGCCTAGGAATGTCATTGCTATGTCATGATAACTGTGTTTAATTTTTGAAGAATTGCCAGTTTTCTATAGCAGCTGTATCATTTTACATACCCCCAGCAGTGAATGCAGATCCCAGTTTCTCTGCATCCTTGTCAATGTTTATTTTTTTCATTATAGCAATCTGCCTTAGTTACTTTTTCTCGTTGCTGAGACAAAGTACCTGATACCCAAAATTAAAGGAGGAAAGGTTTATTTAGCTCACAATTTGTAGAGGTTTCAGGCCATAATTAGCTGGCTCTAAGGCAGGGTGGCATGACAAAAGGCATTGTAGAGGAGAAACAGTTCATGGCAGGCAGAAGGTAGCAAAGCAAGCAAGTGACCAACTAGCAGCAATCCTCTTTCTGTCCCTTATGTTGTGTCCAGAATACCTGCCCTTAGGGTGGGTAGCACTTATACCCTTAATCCTAGTATTGCACCATGAATTAATCCCACAGTCCAGATCCAGCCACCTCTGAAAAGCCCTACCTATGACCGCATGAGGCTTTGGGGGAACATCTAGATACAAGTCATAGTACCATCTTGGTGGGTGTGAAGTAACATCTCACTGTTTGTTTTATGTTAATTTTTTTCCGTGGTGCTAGAGATTGAATCCAGGGCTTTACACATGCTAAGCAAGTGCCCTACTACTGAGCTACACTCCCAAGCCCTCATTGAGGTTTGTGACGTACATTTCCCTGTTGGCTACTGATGTTGAGTGTTTTTTCATGTGTTTATTGGCAATTTCTGTATGTTCTTTGGAGAACTATCTAGCCAAAGAACAAATCTATTGAATGAAAAACATGTATTTAGAATTTAAAAAGTTTATTCAGCCAAAGATCCCTGTCATTTCAAATATAAGTGGACTGGGTAGATCCTACACATAGGTATATTTTAAAAGCAAGCTCCATAATTACGTGTACTGTGGTGCCTTGAAGCCCTACTGCTTTGTAGAAGGAAATCAAACTCAAAGACGCCAAAAGACAAGGCCAAAATCATGCCAGAGCCAACCTTAATATTCTTATTTAGGAATCTTTCTGACATTCTAGGTCTCTTAACTGCCTGTATTTCAGTTCTTCTCATTGGACATCATTCACTGCGACTGAACTAACAATAGCAAGGACATGATGTTCCAGCTTTCTCTTTAGAGAACAGTGGTGGTGACAGGTAGGAGTAGAGGGAGGGGCTTTTACATTGAGCTGTGAGTATCTTACCATGTTCCTCCAGTTCCTTTTTCCTTCAGTTTCACATATAATAATATTCCAGCCATGTGAACATTGAGGTCTCAGGAGAGAACACTGAGCCCCACAGAGTGCAGAACTCCATTGTAACCTATCCTTCTACAACAGATTCAGATATAAGATGGGTAGAATTCTGTTAAACACAGGGCTTTGCAGTTGACAGTAACTTTGCAGTATGCAACTACTAAATAATAGATGCTATTATAATAACTCTCAAACACTTTTTCAAAAGATGAGACCAGGATTTAGGCAATTGTTTAGTTTATGCCCTTTATTTTGTTTTTGTATTTTGTCTTAGCATTCTGTTGCTTTGCATTTTTATGGTAGGGAAAGTATTCAGACTAGGAAAGAGGTAATCTTGCCAAGTACAAATGCAGTTCTGACTATAGATAGCTGAATTGCCACCCTGGAGTCTTTTCTATGAAACTTGTTGCCATCTGCAGTATCAAAAAGTAGTATGTTGAGAATCATACCAAATCCCTACAGTGATCTCGGATGTTAGTTTTTTACAAATTATTTTTCATTATTTCCTCTTAAGTAGCATTTTTTAATTTTTTAATTTATTTCATCTTATTTTTGTAGTGCTGGGGATCAGACCCAGAGTATTGCTTATGCGAGGCAAAGGCTTTACCACTGAACACTTTCCTAGCCCCTGAATAATATTTTAAAATTCTTTATCAATCCTTTAATGTTAGGACTGCGTCAGTCATTTAATTAACTTTTTTACATGAAGCTTTTTACCTTGTTTCATTTTCTTTACAGCTTACTTTTTTTTTTTTATAGCTTGGTTTTTTAGAAACTGTACCCTTGCCAAAGTATCACTTGGTGAAATATCAAATTATATACATGGAAGGGGATGTGGCATAATGATTTATTGCCCAGTTTCTGTGTATAAATCTTAGCTCCATCATTTCTTAGCTGTGTGGCCTTTGGTGAATTACTTGACTTCAAATAAATCTCCATTTTCTTTTCTGTAAAATGGATAATTTTTTTTTTTTTTTGTACCAGGGATTGAACTCAGGACCTTGTGCTTGTGAGGCAGGCGGTGGAACCACTGAGCTAAATCCCCAGCCCAAAGTGGATATATATTTTATAATGTTGTTTATGAAGATAAAATGAAATAACTTTGCAAAAAGCTATTATAGTGTCTTGGCACAATAAATACTTTTATTATGATGACCTGTGCTTTAAACTGTAAACAGTCTTGCCTGTGACCAGTAGAATACATCTCAGAACAAAAGCTGAATGGAGTAAAGTTTATAATTAGTGGCTGAGGAGTTAGTGAAGACTACTACTCTAAATGAAGATTGAGTTAGTCGTCACTTTGTTCACAGTAACACCATACTTTGACCAACCAAATTCTCCAGAGGTAACTGTTTGTAGTGGTTGTTTTTACCTGTAGTAGTTACAAGAGTAACTGTCTCTGTTATCTTTGGAGTTTTGAGAGATTCTTTTTTTTGTTCCCTAAGTACTGAGGATTAAACTGGGCTTTTGCTTTGAGCTATATCCCCAGCCCATTCTAGTTTTTACTTTGAGACAGGGTTTTCCTAAGTTAATAAGCTGCCCACACTGGCACACACTTGATCCTCCTGCCTCAACCTCCCAGAGTGCTGGGCTTATAGGGATGCACCACCACACCTGGCTAAGAGATTCTTTTTCCATGAAGTAACTCAGTTAAATTTTGAGGTATTAAAAACATAAACACTAAAGTGAATTAATGAGAAAACAATATTATCTAACAGAGTTTTTAGGCACAAAAGATTTTCTAAGAGTACGAATTATATGAGTTAGAAGACAAGGTTTCTGAGTTCAAAGTCAAAGACTGCATATGGGAAGGCACAAGCAACTGTGCTTCTTGAAGGGTGAGCCTAGGATATGAATCTGCTCCAAGGGATTGTTTCCTTTGGGGTTAGATGCTTGGGTTTCTGGGTGTGGGGATGGTGCCTTTCAGAATAGGATTATAAGGCCTGGGAATGCAGCTCAGTGATAGAATAATTGCCTAGCATGCACGAGGCCTTGGGTGTGATCCCTGTTACCCACCCACTCCCAGTACACACGCAAGGGAAGAAAAGATGGTGGTGGCGGTAGACAGAGTAGATCAGAGTTGTGAGTAGCTACTAGCCTTGTAAAGAGGTGCCTGTTTAGGGGCTAGGGATTTAGCTCAATGATGTCGCTGCCTCGCAAGTGTAAGGTCCTGAGTTCGATCTCCATTATCCGCCCCCCCAAAAAGGAGCCTGTTTAAAGCTGAAGGTACTTGATATGCTTCCTGAAATACTGCAGAGAATCTGTAGTCCAGAATGCATCTCTAGGCCTTTTGCATTTATTTTTACTTTTGCACTGGAATGTGGTGTTTGTTTGAAAAAAATAAAGGCATTGTGATAATAAAAATGGTAAGAATATGTATTTGGTCCCTTTTACTGTAAAACAATATTCACATTCAACTTTCCCATTTTACTTTTAACCCTTAGAATATGACAATGATTCACTAAGATGAGTATTTGCTACCTTTTGAAATTCACTCTGAGCACCTAGTACCTAGGCCACTTCAGTGGTTTCTAAGGATAGAGCTCATCATTCTGAAATGTTTATCTGTGGTCATTTCAGTCTTGTACTTTGCTGCTGAAGGACATTCCTAATTGAGTATTAAAACTATGTGGAAACTTCTTTAGGAGTTTTACAAAAACACTTTCATACTTGGGAGAGAAAGAGCAAACTAGATTTCTTTAGGACTCTCTAGATCTTTTGGGACCCCAACCTTATCACAATAACTTAAGTACTATTTTCAGTGATTCCTGTAGTTCCCTCACTTAAGTGCTGCTTGGGTTCATCTCGTGAGCATCTCCCTACAGTGGTTGTAGACCTACTGTCAACTTTTGTCAAGTCAAATGTATTATTAGAAGGGGTTCACAAGAGAACTTTGCCTGGTTCTGTCCAGTAGACTTGCCTCAAATATGTGGTGGTCAGGTATTGTGCAGGTGTTGTGCAGATGGGAAGCAGAGGATTGCAGGAGGTACAAGAGGTGTTGCAGGAGGACTGATTACTGATATGATCATTTCTGGCCTATTAATGTAAAAACACTTTGTTTCTTTTCCAGGGATTGTTTTCTGAAGGGGAGACCATTTCATCTCTTCCGATTACTCATCCAATACCATGAGCCTGAGCTTTGTTCTTTTCTTGATACAAAGAAAATTACTCCAGACTCCTATGCACTCAACTGGGTAATAAAGTGAAAGTAGGAACACTTAATGAAAAATAGTTTATATAAAACTATTGTTGGGCCGGGGATTTAACTCAGTGGTTCCGCTGCCTGACTTGCAAGCACAAGGACCTGAGTTTGATCCCCGGTACAAAAAAAAACCAAACTATTGTTAGGTAGTGTTTTTTCAAGGACAATAGAGTTCTAAATTGTAGACCAGGCCAGGCATGGTGGTGCATGCTTGTAATCCCAGCATTTCGGAGGCTGAGGCAGGAAGACCTCTGTGAGTTCAGGGCCAGCCTGAACTACATAACAAAACCCTGTCTCACACCCCCCCCCCCAATTGTAACCATTATTCCTACTTAAAACTGTAGGAGTAAAATTACTAGTGTTTCAAAATATTTTTTTTTACTCTTATGTTAGCTCAGATTATTTGATGTAAAGTTTAGATTTTTGTTCTATTACACATATTGAAAGTGTAAATAAGGATCAAAAAGATAATATGAAATAGGAAGAAAAGATCCAAGGGGGAAATGGGAGAGGTTGGGGAAAGGAAAGAAGGGAATGGAATTAATATGAGAAAATGAAAAAATGGAAACAAAGTCTTTGTAAATAGGGAGGGGTGAAGGGATTGAAGGGAGGGCAAGGGAATGGGGAAAAAATAAGAACCAAGATATATCATGTAAAGGTACAAATTTTCAATGATGAGTGTCATTATATACCTAAAATGTACCAATAAAATTAAAAAATAAATATGTTTTTAGTATGTGTTAATATGTTATGTATTAATTTACTATAGTAACATTTAACACATTTCTGCAAATATATGCATATAATATTTGAAAATATATATTCAATTTAAAACTTTATGTGTTTAAACTGTTGATGATATATATAAGAGTTGGTAGGGCTGGGGATGTAGCTCAGTGGCACCATGCCTGCCTGGCAACCGTAAGGTCCTGAGTTCGATCCCCAGTACCAAAAAAAGAAAAAGAATTGGTAAATAATCATGAGGAAAATTACTTAAGATTATCAAATGGCTAACATGAAAGAAAATAAAGTACAGCTCATGCTCTGTCCTTCTATACTTGTATTTTATTCTGGGTCAGAGGTTCTCAAATCTTTTAGAACCCCTTACACTCTTAAAATTTAGTTATGATTTGTTTATATGGATTATGTTAATTAGAAAGTAAAAGTAAAGAATTTTAAATATTCATTTATTTAAAAGCAATGATTAATCAATACATGTAACATAATTGGCCTATTTTTAAATGAAAAGCTACATTTTTTCCAAGTCTCATTAATCAAAGACAGGTAGATACACGTAACTGGTTCTTTATTCAATCTATGATGATATCATGTAACCTTTAGAGAATTCTATTATTTATTTATGAGGGAATGAATTTGAAATGGGCAAGTAAAAATCTTAAGTATTATTATGAAAATAGTCTTGACCTCACAGACTCCCCAGTAAAGAGTTTTCGGGATTTTTAGGGTCTTCAGATTACACTTTGAGAACTGCTCTTCTCGGGTAACTTGAAGATCTTTTAAAACAATGATTGGATACTAGAAGACTATTAAGAAATTGAACATTCTTTTTGTGTTGTTTTGTTTTGTTTGAGGTAATCAGGATTGAACATCAGGGATTCCCACTGGGCTACATACCCAGCTTCTCCCCGCCCCCGCCTGTTTTTGAGACAAGCTCTCACTAAGTCACTGAGTTGCTCAATTTGGGTTCCAACCTCAGCCTTCCAGAGTGCCAGGATTGCAGGCATGTGCCATCTCGCCCAACTTGAACATATTGTTTGATTGGGCTGGGAATTTAGCTCAGTGGTTTCGCCTGCTGCGCATGCACAAGGACCCGAGTTCGATCCCCGGTACCGAAAAAAACCCAAAACAAAACATATTCTTTGATTATGTCTTATCTAACTTTAGGAAGAATCCTAAAGAATCTGCTACTTATTAACTGTGTGATATAACACATAACTCTTAAGCTTCAATTTCATCATCTGTAAATTGGGAATAATAACATCTAAGAGGATGATGGGATGAGTTAGCAGTCAGGTAATGGTAATTAAGAGAATCATAACTGCTTTCACTTCTGGACTCATGAAATCTTAAACCTTAATCTGAACCTTAGCTTTCTCATGGCCGCAGGTTTGTGCCTTTGGATTAAAAATTATAAAATACCTATAAAATTGTGACTTCTCTGAGATTCACATGTTGCCATTAAATCTACTTATTTATGTTAAAGTAAGAAATTATTCCCCACTCCCACCCTTTCATTCTTTCTTTGCAATACTGGGAATTGAAGGGGCTGGGGATTTAGCTCAGTGGGTCTACCGCCTGCCTCGCAAGTGCAAGGACCCGAGTTTGATCCCCAGTACCAAAAAAAAAACAACAAAAAACCGGAAATTGACCCCAGGGCTTTGTGAATGCTAGGCAAGTGCTCTGCCACTGAGCTACATCCCCATCCCTTTTTAAATTTTATTTGGGGACAAGGTCTCATGAGTTCCTTAGGCTGGCCTTGAACTTGTGATGGCCTTTCCTCTGCCTTCCAAGTATCTGGGATTGCAGATGTGTGTAGCTATGCCTGTCTAAATACATTTCTATTGCCAGAACTCTGAACTGATAGTCTGTTATTTCAGGAAGTTTAATCTAAATACTAAAATAACTGGTTACTCCTTACCTGAAGTGTCAGATAGTTCATTCTTGCTACTTCATCATGTTGATGAAATAGTTTTTTTTTTCTTTTTTTAATCATGAGATGAAACAAAACTTATTTCTAAACCTTAACACATAACTGTGAACCACACAGTGGTAGCTTTAGTTGAGCTGAGGTTAGGGTTGGCTATATATTACTGTTCTTTTTGTATTTACATCTTCTAATCTGCATTTGTGATAGTAACTTTTCAAACATAAAAAACATTAATAGCATTTTGTACTTTAAAAACTTGTGATTGAGTAAAATGGCAGTTACATGGGCTGTGGTGTTCCTAGTCCCAACAGCATTACTCACTAACCCAGTAAGCTTGGGAAAGTTATTTGATCCAAGTCTAATACCCTAACTGAAAAATGGGGAGAAAATGTCTACAAGCCTATTGTGAGAATTAAGAGCTAATTAATAACATGACAGTAGTTTAGTATCTAACATGAAGTATATACTAGATATCAGTTTCTCATTAGCTCCCTTATATTAAAGATGTTTTAAGTATAATCCTTTAAGTGGAATTGTTTTCTGATCTTACAAAAATTGAATGACTTACAAGTATCACTGAACTTACGCGGTTTAAAAACACAGTTGAATAGCTTTGCATAGTGGTGAATGCCTATAGACCCAGCACTTGAAATGCTGAAGAAGGCTGAGGAAGGAGGATCTCAGCGAGTCAGCCTGGGTAACATAGTGAGTTCAAGACCAGCCTGAACTATGCTGCAAAACCCTATCTCCAAAAAGCAAAAACAAGCTGGATGTGGTGGCGCATGCCCGTGATCCCAGCACTCAGGAGTATTGCTGGGGCAGGAGTATTGCTGGGAGTTTGAGGCCAGCCTGGGCTACATAGTGAGTTTCAGCCAGCCTGAACTACATAGCGAGACATATCTCAAAAAAGAAATCATAGTCATAATAAAAATAAATAACACAATTGGGGTATAGAAAATATTATAAATTTACAACTCTTATTTGAAATATAAGACTTTAGAGCTGAAATCTATTGAACATTATGAATTTTGTTCATCTATTTTAAATAATTTACAAGTAAGCTTTAGAAGCAGTTTACATTTATTTGTCATTAAAATTTTATTGGATACCCTTAAATTACTATATTTGATCCTCATAATTGCCTTCTAAGTTAAATACTATGCTGTAATTAATAGTAATTGTGCCAGGTTGCCCTTATAAAACTCTGTAGGTAATTTACAAGTTATTGTACTGTGGCAGGGACATATGTTAATTATTTTAGATATTCTTGGTTAATTATCTCTCCACAACAGTGGTAGAAATAGAACCTAAGGAGGTTAGTAACATGGCCTAAGTCACACAGCTAGTAAGTGACTCCATTGTGTTTTGAATACACATGTTCTGGCTCTGGATTCCATACACTAAAGTTAAGGTACACATTAAATATCAGGTGCATATAATTTGATGTAATATTTTGCATTTGCTTAATATTTTTAAAAGTATTACAAGCCAGTTCCAGTGGTTTATGTTTCTCATTTCATTTCCTAATTACAGCTTGGAAGCCTTTTTGCATGTTACTGTTCAATTGAAGTCACTCAGGCAATATGGGATGGATATCTCCAACAAGCAGATCCATTTTTTATTTATTTCTTAATGTTAATTATCCTTGTTAATGCAAAGTAAGTATTAAGTTGATTAAATTTTTTTCTTCTCTCTCAGTGGTCTGTTAATGTTTAACTCAAATTCAATTTGATTGCCTTTTACAGAGAAGTTATTTTAGCACAAGAATCAGACAGCAAAGAACAAGTTATTCGTAAGTATTATTTAATATGGAGAAAAGATTTCAGGTCAGTTAATATAAAACTCAGTTTTCTCATCCGTAAATTTAGAAAATTATGCTGGGCTGGGGATTTAGCTCAGTGGCACCATACCTGCCTCGCAAGTGCAAGGTCCTGAGTTCAATCCCTCGTACCCCCTCAAAAAAACTTTTAGAAAATTAGGCTGCAGTTGCTCTGAGGTTCCATTTAACTCCTGTATTCTTTAAACACTCTAGGTACTGACACCTTAAAGATTTTTTTTCTCTGATTTGCCATCCTCATTCATTCTTTCAAGTATTTTAACTTTTTTATTCTATGCCTATACTATTTCTCTGATTTTAATACTCAAGTAGAATGCTCCCCTGCCACTAGTGTACCTTTTTGTACTCAGCTTACAATCTCCACTGTGGAGCTTTGGTTCTCTTCTTTGGATTCTCCTCACTGTAGTTTCTCAACAGAGATAATTATTTCCTCTCTATATTGCCTTATACTTTGTACTATCTGTATAAAGATATACTATCTTTTCTTGCTGCATTATGATGATTTATTTATGTTTTTTATGGAAGATAAAGTTCCTTAGGAACTATAATTCATTTTTTTATTTCTAGGGACCCTGGCATTTTGTGTTTGTAGAATAAGTAAATCAGTCAATTCTGAGTAAAGCTAATGAATTTGATTTTATCTGACCATGTATCAGTAACAGGAGAATTGTATTGACAGTTTTAGCTCCTTTGGGGAATCTGTTTCTCTACAAGCAGCTTTTTAAAAGCATCACCACTGAGATTCCGTTTATGTAGTATTTATTAGGCTGAATATATTTTAGTTTTGCACATAAATAGTATATATTTTTCACAAGCAATTTGTTAAATGATACATCTACAATCGTATTTCAGAGTTCTTAGAAAATACGCCATCCAGTTTGAATCTTGAAGATATAGAAGACCTTTTCACTCTGGCTCAGTATTATTGCAGTAAAACACCGGCTTCTTTTAGAAAGGTAAAAGACAAGAAGTGAACAGCTCTTCTGTATTTCACATTTCATACATTGTATTTACTTTATATCAACTTCAGTCAGAATACCCTTAAATTATCATTTTTTTCTTTTTATGTATTACAGTTCTGCGTGATTTCTTTCACTATGAATATTCTCCCTAGTAGAGAAATAGTTTTAAAAAGATATTTGAAAATCATCTAACCTTTGTTCTGATTATTAGTTATTACTGATCCTGAGAAAATTGACTGTGAGGTATTTCCTAAATTAGTGCTTTTGTAACTTCAAAAATTGTATTTCAAAAATCCAATAGCAGTTATGTAGTTATTATGTCTCTTTTTCTGGAGTTCAGCCTTGGACAGTCTTAGTGATGCAGAACTGTGTTGTGTACAAACAAACAAAAAGTTATTCACTTAGCTCCTTAGGGACCGAGATCCTTAGACTAGGTGCTTTCAATGGAGAATACCAGATTAGAAGCATGAGTGGTATGAATGTCTAGGAAATAATACCTCAAGAAGTACAAATAATAGTGGAGGAGGAAAAGTTTTTAAATGTAAAAACTACACAGGTTTTTCTGTGACCTCAGTGGCCTGTAAGAACATTATTGCCATTTTTTTAAAAAAGCATTCTGCCATAGTTATTCCTAGTTGGTAGTCAGTGTGTCACAGAAATGGTCAAGGTTAAAATATGTCCATTATTGGGCTGGGGATTTAGCTCAGTGGTTTCACTGTCTACTGTGCAAGTGCAAGGACCCAAGTTCAATCCCCGGTACCAAAAAAAAAAATATGTCCACTGTAGGTGTCTCAGGAGGCAGATAATGTTCTTTTAAGAACATTTCCCTCAAAAATAAGAAATTTTAAAAAACAATTTGTTTCTGGGTACTAATTTCAGCTAATTTAATAATTTCCTTATATAATTCGCTTCAGTTTCCAACAGTGTTGGGTGAATCAGATGGCGGAATTAGTGGTTTAGCATACTGGGTGAAAAATGTGTCTTTTTTCTTTTTCAGTGTTTTAAGAGAAGCACCTTTTCTTCAAATGTAGATGATCTGTACTAGTAGTTACAAATTACACCAGGCTAAAGATTAGCATATGATGTAATTTATTCAATTTATTTCTGCCATATTTTGTTTTTATTATGAAAAGTTATCACAAGCATATTTTTTAAAATTTGCTTCTTGGAGACAGGGTCTTGCTTATGTAGCCCAGGCTGGCCTTGAATTTATGATCCTCCTGTCTCAACCTGTTGAGATTACAGAGGTGTGGCACCATGCCCTGCCTAGCCCTTAAAAATGAGATAATGGTATAGAAAAGAGCTGTGTAGAATGCTATCTTTTTCTAAGAGTTTGATTTTGTTTGAACTCTTATAGGAATTTTGTGTGTAGTTTTTTAACATATAATATTTGAGATTGTACAAGTTTTAAAAATCACAGGATGCAATGAACATACACAATTATTTCACCCTTTATTGTGGTTTATGAGAATATGTTTAGTGAGAAAGTGTGATTTTGATTTTTTTCCATAATGTTAAAAAATTTCTCTTTGAATAGGATAATCACCATCTCTTTGGTAGTACTCTTTTGGGAATTAAGGATGATGATGGAGATCTGAGTCAAGCTCTTTGTCTAGCCATCTCAGTATCAGAAATTCTTCAAGCCAATCAGCTGCAAGGGGTAAGTAAAGAAAGATCATTTTCTGGGAAACTATGCCTTCTAAGTATAAGGAACCAGAGTTGGGCATATAGCTTAGCCTTAAAGCTTGTGGTTAGCAGGTCAACCTCCAGCACCAGAAAGAAAAGAATGTTTCTTATTAACTTATAACAATGTGACTATTTTGCTTTTTGAATAGTGTGTTAAATCTTCTGTCTAGATGATCATTTTTTAAACTTCCAGCTGTGTGTTATTTTAGTCATCAATAACTATTTTTGTCACTCTTGACACCAGTTATTTCATATTTCAGCAAAGCTGCTGAATGTAGCATTGTATAAAGTACTTATAGGGGTGCATTTTGCATTTAACATTTAAATTCTGTGTAGTTATACAGCTAATTAAATTACATGGTGCAGTGCCATAAAGCTAGCAAAGACCAATTACAAAAAATACATCATAGTTATCTAGTATGACCATCATGAAAATCTCATGAGCCATTTTGACCAATTATTTTTTTTCAGTGTATGTATTTATTATTTGTTGTGTTACAGTTAATCTTGGGTGTTTATATTTGGAAGGTTGGGTTATTTCCAAAGTTGAGCAGGGGAAACGAGAAGATACAGGGTGATAGGCCTTTTAGAATAGCTTTCAGTTGGACTTCTTACTATATTTGTACTGGTTGTTCAGAATTTTCAAAATACAAGCTCTTCTCATTTCTTATTAGAACTAATATTAAAAAGAAAATATGTAATCCAAGTTTAAGAGACCCATATAAACTTCTTTGATTCAAATTGACATTGTAGCCATGCCCCAAGGACATACAGTTTATGTGAATTTGGTCATTGATAAGTTTGTGGACTTGCTGTAAAAATAACAGTGTGTCTAGAGTTGTGTGTATATAGCTATATAGTGTTTACATGATACACATTGAAAAGTTGTTAGATTCTAACATAATTAGATTTATAGTGCAAACTGGCATTCTCTTGCTACATGTTTTGAGATTTCCAAGTCAAGAACAATATATAAAAAATGTGTTAACTGTTTAAAATTAGTAAAAATATTTGGGACCTTGAGGTTATTTTCTGTTATACAAGTTAGATCCTCCTAATTCTATGTGATATCCATTTTTCTAATAAAGTTGTTCTCTGCCTTTTGGTTAACTATTGTTTGGTAAACTATTGTTTGGTTAAGCAGTAGTTGCTACTATTATACTGTGGAATGTGAAGCTCATGGAAAATTTCAGTATGTCGAATGTTTCCCTTTTAGGAAGGAGTCCGGTTCTTTGTGGTGGATTGCCGTCCTGCAGAACAGTATAATGCTGGGCATTTATCAACTGCTTTCCACTTAGATTCAGATCTGGTTAGTATAAATCTTCACTGAATATTTTGCAAGTAAAAAACTAATTTTTTTTTTTTTTTTTAGTACTGGGGATCGAACTCGGGTCCTTGTGCTTATGCAGCAGGCAGCGAAACCACTGAGCTAAATCCCTGGCTGAAAAACTAATTTTTTCTTTAGCTTATAAATAAATATACGTTTTCAAGATGTTTTCCTTTCTGTGTAGAGGAAGTCTTTGCCCCATAAGACATGTTGCTCTTGGGTTTCCTTTTTGCCCAGGACATCTTTCTGGCATCATAAAAGGTAAATGACATGGTAACCATGGCTTACTTGCCATTATGTCAGTAAATTCTAAACTTAATATAAGCTACCTGGTAGGGCAGTTAGTATAGTGGCTTGCACCTAGCAAATAGTCTATAAATATCATCTCTTATTATAATTGGGTAAGAATTTTAAAAGCTTTACCTTAAGTCCTTTTTGTAATCAAGAGTACTTATGGGCTGGGGATTTAGCTCATTGGTTCCACTGCCTGCCTCGCAAGCTAAGGACCTGAGTTTGATCCCCGGTAGCAAAAAAAAAAAAAGAGTACTTATGCATACAACAAGCTAATATTTAAAATAAGAGTAATGTCTGCGTGTAAGTGGTCAATTCTTAAAATTACTATCCTAGGATCATTTCAGTTGAAGGAATAAAGTAATTAAATTTTGTCAGAGATGATTAGAATGGAGACTAAGATCAGTTAAGCAGTTTTTGGGTCATTAGAGCTTCAGGGATGTGGAAAACAGAAGTGGGGTACTAACCTCCATTGCTGAATATGCAGTTCACTCTTCTTCCCAACTTGTCTGGCAATGTTGGTGCTGAGGCTAAAAAGATGTGCAGAAGGGTCTAGGTGGTGTTGAGAGGAAACTAAAGGAAAGTGGGGAGTTTTGCACATTGTAGGTGAGAAAAACCATTTTGCTCTGTTTATATTGTGTAGGTGAACTCTGTACCTTTCCCCTCCTTGATTGGTAAGCTTATTTTAAAAATTCATTCAATTGATTCATAAATACATGAATTAAATTTTTTTCAAAGTATCTTTAGCAAATATTGCCAAGTTTTTAATCTTCCAGATTTAATATGTATTTATATATTTTTTGTTTTACCACTTCCCTTTTCTCTTAACAGTTTCTTGGAGATCTTTCCATTTAAGTACCTTTATTTTTATTTTTAATGTTACGTAGTGATCCGTGATACAGATGTACCATAGAATTTTGTTTGGTTAATATACATTTCAGTTATTTTCAGTTTTCTTACAAAATGCTGCACTTAACATGTTTATACATATTTTGTGAACTTAAGCAAACATTTCTTTAAAGTAGGTCCTTAAAAGTAGAATTGTTAGGGGCCAGAGATTTAGCTCAGTGGTTCTGCCGCCTGCCTTGCAAGTGCAAGGTCCCAAGTTCAATCCGCAGTACCAAAAAAAAAGTAGAATTGTTAGGTTGAGGGATATGACCACTTTATTGCCCTTTAAAAAGGGTGAACTGCTTTGTACTTCACAGCTGTAAATGCAAATGACTGTTCCATATCATCACCATTATTCGACATTATTGGTCTCCCTCTGTTTTTTTCTTTTTTTAATGTTACCAGAGTGAGAAGAGGAAAATACTGGTAATTACTAATGAGACTGAGCAACTTTTTTTTTTTTAACAAATTGGTCTTTGATATGTCCATTTTTTTCTATTGGATTTTCACTATACTTTTAAAGTAGTCTTATAGAAATTTTTAAAATTTTGTCATAGTTATTGCATGAGAGTAAGTTATTACTTTGAGAGTAAGAAATGAATTTTTCGTCCTTGTGGCTCCAATATCTAAAGTAGTGTTAAGTACAAGTATACTGTAAGGCGCACTTGCCCATAAGTTGAAACTGAAAAATAGAACACTCAGACACTACTCTTCTTGTTTTTAGCCATGGAACCTTCTACTTTGTGCTGAACACTTTTTCCCATTATACTTAAGGACAATTAGCTTGCTATTTGTTATATAAGGAAGCAAACAAACAGTTCAGTATGGTTGGCTCATGCCTGCAATGCCAGCTGTGTAAGAGGCTGAGGCAGGAGGATCACAAGTTCAAGCCCAGCCTGGCCCATTTAGCAACCTTTAGTAAGACCCTGCCTTAAAATAAAAAGTGAAACAAGGGCTGGGGATATAGCTCAGTGCAAAGGCCCTGGGTTCAGTCCTTAGTACCACACAGAAACACACACACACACTCAAAAAACAAAACAAAAAGCAAAAATGTTAGTAGAGCAGTATTTTTTTTGCATAATTTAACCTTTCTGTTAATTTTTGAGTTTTATTCTGATGCATTGCAGGTATATTTATGCACACTTCTTTTATCCCCAGGATTTTATTTATAGAAACTTTTCCCTTTGTTTTTGTGGTGGTTCTTTAAATGTTGGGTCTTTCCTGGAAAAATATTTCAGGTTTTACAAATGTATATGAAATACAGACTTAGCATGTTTTTAATTTTCTAAAAATAATCTAGATGCTCCAGAATCCATCTGAGTTTGCACAGTCAGTAAAATCCTTGCTGGAAGCACAAAAGCAGTCCATTGAGTCTGGCTCCATAGCCAGTGGGGAGCACCTCTGTTTTATGGGTAGTGGCAGGGAGGAAGAAGACATGTACATGAACATGGTCCTGGCACACTTCTTACAGGTATGTTGCCATAGATTATATCATTTTACTTGACTTTTTACTTTACATTGCTTTCAAATTGAAGATATTTGCAGAGTTTTTTACTTTTACATACACTGTTAGATTTATCTATATTTTTCTTTCCAGCTGCTTGGTTTTTCATCTTGCCAGGAAAAGCTGTCTTTTTCTGTAGATTTTTCTTACATACTTACATTGTGTGTTTTTTATGTTTTAAGTTTTGAACCATTTAGAATTTATTTTTGTATAAGAAGGTAGAAATTTAAAAAAATTTGTTTTCCAGGTAGCAAAAGTAGTTGTGCTATCAATTTGAAATACCATGTTTTTAATAGTGCATTAAATTCTTCTAAACATAAGGATCTCTTTCTGGATTATTCTGTTGTATTGATCTTTATACTTATTCATGCTGTAGTACTTTTTATAGTAGCTATATAATTCATTTTAATATTTTCACTTTTAATTTGAATAAATATACATTTATATTCATGACATTTAGCCATTTGTCCTTTTAGTGTTGGAATATTGTTTTCAGCACAACTTAATTTTCTTTTCTTCGTACCAGGGGTTGAACTCGGGACCTTGCGCTTGCGAGCCAGGCACTGGAACCACTGAGCTAAATCCCTGGCCAGCACAGCTAATTTATATTAGTGATATTATTCAAATTCTCCTTTTGCTTTCCCTCACAGCCTCAGTCAGTAATGACTCTTTATAAAAAATAGTTGTTATCAAGTATTTTTTGGTAGTTTATACATTAAGGTCTTTAGTTTGTATGGTTTTAAACTGTGGAATCAGGAAGATCATAGGCTTGGTGTTAAATAATCCACTTAGTTCGAATTCATTTCTCTTTATGTTTTACTGCGAATTTGGTTTGAGAAACTTACTGTAAAGGTAAAATTCTTAAAAGAATCAAGGGCCGGGGATTTAGGTCAGTGGTTTCACCGCCTGCTGCAGAAGCGCAAGGACCTGAGTTCAATCCCCAGTACCGAAAAAAAAAAAGACAGAATCAAAGCCAGGTGTGGTGGTAAATGTTTGTAATCTCAGGTACTCAGGATGATCACAGTTTGAGGCCAGCCTGGGCAACTTAGGGAGATTCTGTCTCAACATAAAAAAGGATGGGGCTGCAGCTCAGCACTAGAGTGCTTCCCTGTCATACTTGTAGGCCTTGAGTTCAGTTCCCAGTACTGCAAAACAAAATACAAAAACAAACAAAAAGACAAAGTCAGAGAAGGAATAAGGTATTGGGAGGAGGGATTATTATCAGATAATTTTAAACCTTCTTAAAGGAAAGAGTTTAGAAATTTATATAGAATAACAAAAATAGGGTCCCAAATTTGTGTGTGTGTGTGTGTGTGTGTGTGTGTGTGTGTGTGTGTGTGTGTGTTTTGGTGTTTTGAGACAGGGTCTCACTACGTAGGTCATGCTGGCCTTGAACTCTCCATATAGCCCAGGTTCCACTCAACCTGATCCTTATGCCTTAGCCTTTCAAGTTCTGGGATTATGAGCATGTGCCACCACACCCAACTCAACCTCATTTTACTTATAAATTTAACTGGCCTATTTTTAAAATGCTGTAGTATAAAATATATATTGTAAAGGCTCTTATATTGTAAAGATTTGGGATATTGTCAATATTATTCAGATTATTTGTGGAATTTTAGAAATTTTTGTCGTGAAAGGTTAAAAGAAATTGAAAAGTGGGAGCATTGAATGCCATAAATTCTTTATAACATAATCATATACATTTTTATTTACAAAATCTAGCCTAGTGTTTAAATTTCCTTGATTTTCCTAGAATCAAAACAGCACTGCATTTAATTGATTTTTCTTTAAATATCTGGGGTTTTTTTGTTTGTTTGTTTTTTGAGGCAGGGTCTCCCTTTGTAATTCAGGCTGGCCCTGAACTTACTGTGTAGCCCAGGCTGGCCTTGAACTCCAATCATCCTCCTGCCTCAGCCTCCCAGGGCTGGGAGGGCTGGGATTATAGGCGTGTGCCACCACACCTAGCTCTAATATCTGTTTTATTTTATGGGTTCCCATTTCTTTTTTTGTTTTTGGTTCCAGGGATCAAACTTGGGATTTTGTGCTTGCAAAGCAGGCAGTAGAACCACTGAGCTAAAATCCTCAGCCTTATTGGTTCCCATTTCTAATTTTTTATCTTACATACATTTGTTGAAAATAATCCAGTTAATAATTTTTATAGAGTTTCCCCACATTCTGGTTTTGATTACATTCACATGGTATCATTTATCAAGTTCTGTCCCTAGTCTCCTGTGAGCTGCTAGTCAGATCTAAAGATTTGGTCACATTGCCTTTTTAGGGAAGAAGGGGTCTTGGAGTGTGGCTTAGTTACTTTTCTCATTGCTGATACAAAATACCCAACACTCAAAGTTAAAGAAAGAAGGTTTATTTAGCTCACAGTTTGTAGAGGTTTCAGTTCATAGTTGGCTGGCTCCTGCAAGGCAGGGTTGCATGGCAGAGGGGCATTGCAGAGGAGAAACAATTCATGGCGAACAGAAGGCAGGAAGACAGCAAAGCAGAAAGCAGTGAAGTACCAAGCAGCTAGTGACAAGCAGTGACTCTCTTTCCCTTATGTCTTATCCAGGCCATCCACCCTTAGGGTGGGTAGCACTCATACCCAGGGTGAGGCAGCCTTAATCCTAGCATCATACCTTGAATCAATCCCAGCATCATATCCTTGATCCCAGTATCACACACCCTAGACTGAGCCACCTCCGAAAAGCCCCACCTATGACATCTAGACATTTCGATATAAACCTGTAACAGGGTGTTTGCTTCAGGTATATTCTCATTTCTTTCTCTCCTCTCCCCTCCCTCCCCTGGGTTCATCATTACTTAGATCCTGCACAGTGGTAATAATTTATATTTCATAATTAGCTATACTTCTTTTTATATTAACTAGTTTATAAAGGATACAAAATATTTTAAAAATCTGATTACATTTGATACTCTAAATTTAGTTTGACTCTTGCACTATTGGGAGTATGATTAAAGTAAAATCATAGTCCTGTTTATTAGTCATGAAATTGTTCCCTTTTTCTTGCCTATGCAACACCTTACAGTGCACAGGGTAAATGTGTGTGTTTGTGTGAGAGAGATTGTGAGAGAGAGAGAGATACCTCTCTGTGACAAAGTCTAAAATGTTAAGGGAAATAGTGCAAAAATTTAATATATAACTGTATGTTGCATTTGTCAATGTTTTAGAATTACCAGAAGTTTTAAATTGCACTTTGAAATAATTTTTTAAAAATTTCCATTACAGAAAAACAAAGAATATGTGAGTATTGCCAGTGGAGGATTTATGGGTAAGGTTTTAATTTATTCATTTCTTTGCCTCTACTCTTTAGTATAGTGTTTAGCATCAGAGCTTATTTGGAGTAACCAAATTAGGTGAGTAGACTTTCTCTTTAGTCATTTAGTATTTTCAAAAAGGATAAGGCCTGCAGGACATATAGATAGCAAACATAATAGGCAATTGAAATGAGTGACTGTTTGATGAAAGACTATTTAAATTAATATGCTCAATTAACTTGTGTTCCCAAAAAGCTTTTTAAAATTTTTATTTCATTGTACTTTTTTGTGGTGGGGATTGAACCCTGGGCCCTCAACACATATTATGTAGTCACTGTACTGCTGAACCACATCTCCAGCCCCTCCAAAAAATATTTTTATAAAAATAATGAAAAATTGCCTATATTATTTGCCCCTATGGAGAAGAAAGATTTGACAGGACTGGTAAACAAGAATTTAGATATATTATTTTCTAAATAATAATAAATAATAAATTATCTGTTGCTCTTTAGATATATTATTATCTTTTAAACTATTTGAAGGTTTTAGCTGGGGTAAACAAATATTGGCTGTACAGAATAAAAGAAATAAGCTGACTTTTCAAATCTACAGACTAATATCTGGTAATCCAAGATAGTAAAATAATTGGTCAATTTTGACAAATATTTGAGAATTTATGAAGGACTAAATCAGTACAATATTAGAAAAGAGCCTACCTTGGCATTAGGAAAAAAGGTTTATAAAAGTATGGAATTATAAATGCTGAGGTATAAAAATAAATCAGGCTGGGGATTTAGCTCAGTGGTTCCAGCACCTGCCTCACAAGGGCAAGGATCCGAGTTCGATCCCCAGTACCAAAAAATAAATAAATAATAAAAAATAAATAAAAATCAAATCAGTAAATGTTGAAAATAACAGAATCTTGGGTTTAAAATACAGGAGTTTTAACAGAAGTTAACTTCTTACAGAATGTAATTTATGCTACAAGTTAGAAATTTTGGTATGTTAGGATGTATTTCCTCTTAGTTTTTGTTGATGCTAGCAAAGATTATGAGTATCACCTATGTGTCATGGCCTGATAACTGACTACATTTGAGGCTCATACCCAGAGTTATCTACAAAAGGGATTATTTTAATTAATGAGTGGTATTAAACAAGTGTTGACCTTTTTGCCCAATGTTATTTATTACTAATCCTGATAACATGATATATAATTTAGCAATTAAGCATATAATTCTCGAAAATGCCTGAAAAACATTGTTTTATAGTATATTCTAGATTGTAGAAACTTTTTAAAATATGAAATTCTTGCATTTACCAAGAAATGGTAAATTCTTCATTTACCAAGCTCTTCTCATAACTGTTAATAAAGACTGCTTTGTTATTATGGGAAAAATTGATTGCTATATCCTCATGGTATAACAGAGAGTCCATAGGTTTTCTGTTACTCCTTGCTGTCATAAAAATGTTGCAGAGATTATCTGTTAATACTTGAAAAATGATCTTTCAAAAAGAATAATGGAAAGCCTATACAGTTATTATTATTCTTAGGGTTAGTTAAAAAAAAACGTTAGTTACCTCTGTACAAAGGATTGTAGAAGGAAGGAGAAGTAGTTTGCTGTGGTCCAGAGTTCCTTACTCACTTATAGGGTACAAAAATACTTTATGTTGTTGGATCCTTTTTCATTCAGGCATTACACATTTATTATGCTTTTTTGGTAATGAATCTTTCTACAAGGGCTCATTGCTCAGGTTTGGTTTTCCTTGTTTATCTTAAGCACTGCAGCAGCACCTTGCAGACATTAATGTGGATGGACCAGAAAATGGATATGGCCATTGGATTGTTAGTACTTCAGGCTCAAGGAGCAGTATCAATTCTTCTGTTGATGTAAGTGTATTTGTATAGTATGTCCCCATAGTTGGATCAATTCCCAGAAGAGATGATTAGCTACTAAATCCCCACCATAAGAGAAATGGAGTCAAAACATTTCAGACACAGTGAGGAGTCACATTATTGTGATGTTAATGAAATGATGGAGGCAGTATGCACTTCTGAACTTGTAATGTAAGTGAGCTGATTCCAGGAATCTACCAATTAGTTTGGACTAAAAGAATACAGGGGCTCCTGTTCATATCTCCTGAACACTATGTTTGTACTTCTTCCAATCCCAAACTTACATGATTAGGACTGTGGTCTAAATTCACACAAAAATGGTTCAGGTTGGGCTGGGAATTTAGCTCAGTGGTTCCGCCGCCTGCCTTGCAAGCACAAGGTCCTGAGTTTAATCCCAGGTACCAAAAAAAAAAGAATGGTTCAGGTAAAAAAAGATAACAAACAGTTGTCAGTCCTGTTATGTTTGATTTTTAGTTATTGAGATGTACATTACTGCAGAGGTTTGCTATAGTGGATAAATACTGGGGATCAAACTCGGGTCCTTGCGCTTTTGAGGCAGGTAGCAGAACCACTGATCTAAAGCCCCGGCCCTGCTTTGGAAATATTTGAGTAGTAAGTCTTTCATAGTTTTATAATATTTCTTGTAGTTTCTTGGATGTCACTGAATATTTTTCTTAATAAATAGTGTTATTTATCTAATGTTTATTCTTTAAAACAAAACTAGACAACTGTATTACAGATTTGTTACTAATTTGGGCTTATCCTCTGCTATACCTGGGTCGAGGTTTCATCTCTGCAACTTCTTTGTGACCTCCAGCAACATCTTTCAGCTGTAGTTTCTTCACCTGTGCAATAGAGTTGATAATAGTAGAATCTTCCTCATAAGGAAGATTGAGGATTAAATATGCAAATAAACATATAGTACCTTCCACTGAATATTTAATACTAGTTATTGTAAAATTTTAACTCACTAGAGATATTGAGGTTTGTCTTCAGCCAGAGAAGTCAAAGCAGATTATTGATAAAACATTATCAACAGATAAAACCTCTCTGAAAATTTTATCTCTTGACATGTTTGTATGAAAAACTAAGTAGTATTCCATTGTATGGATGTGATACAGTTTTTTCAGTTAGTATTCTGTGGCTGTATGTATAGCTTTCAGTCTTTTTCCATTACAAACACTACTACAGGTTATTTTTATAGTGATATATTTGCATATGCCATACCTAGTCCTAGAGGTAGAAGAACTTGATCAAAAGATTACTTATCAGGGGGCCGGGGAGTTAGCTCAGTGGTTTCGATGCCTGCTGCTCAAGCTCAAGGACCTGAGTTCAATCCCTGGTACCAAAAAAAAAAAAAAAAAAGATTACTTATCAGAATCTTTAGAACTAAGCATTATCAAGTAGCTCTCCAAAAAAAACATTATTCTAATTTATATTTTCAACCACAGCCTTTGAAGTGTTAAAGCTTTTGTCTTCAGAGTTGAAAAACACTGATTGAGACAATCATAGAAACTGTTGTAAAGATTTGTTCCATTTGAAAGTGCCAAAGAATTTCCACAGTCACTTTAATTTGGTTTTGAATTTAGATATGGAATTAGAGATATGATTTTTAATGTTTTTAATGACATATTTCTCCTAAAAGTAAAAGTAATACATGTTCAATGTAGCATCATATGTCAGTATTCCTCCTAAAAATAAAAGTAATATATGTTCACTGTAGCATCATATGTCAATAAGAAAGTATAAAGAAAACAAAATCACCTTTAACTACCCAGAGATAATAATTGCCTTTCATATTTAGGAATATTTGCATCAAATCTTTTATTGTATGTGTATTTTAGTATTTTATTTTCAAAGTACTGATCACAATTTATAGTAGTTTTATTTTCTTTTTCGCTGAAATATGAGCATTTTCTGGCATTTTAAGATGTTTTTAAAAACCATTTTACCTAAATCTTTAGGGACTTCATGATTATTTCCTTTCCATAAGTTTTAAAGAGGAACTAGTAGGCAAAATGTTTGACACCTATCACCATTTTGAGTTCTAGGGTATATGTGAGCCATCTTGTGAAGCAATATAAGAATTATACTTACACCCATTAAGTACTCTGGGATAACTTTTCTTCTGAAATTAAAGGCCTAAATTAGGATTTTTTTTTTTTTTTTTGGTATTGGGGATCGAACTTGGGTCCTTCTCCTTATGATGGAATATTTTAAAAAGCAAAAATATATAAGGACTAAATGTTTAAAAATTCAGGTGTATGAACAGAAGTTTGATTATGCTTTTCCTTATTTTTCTAGATTAGTCTGAGTTCAGAAAGATCAGTTACTTTATTTCTTAGTGAATACAAAAGGTAATTTCAGGCTATACAGATGTACACATATATATGTACAGATATGCCTTAGTTTTCCTCTGTACTGTACTTTTTTTTGGTACCGGGGATTGAACTCGGGACCTTGCGCTTGCGAGGCAGGCGGCGGAACCACTGAGCTAAATCCCCATCCCTCTACTGTACATTTTTAAAATAACTTCACCTAGTGAATTAGTTTGCTAGTGTCACCATAACAAAATAACCACAGACCAGGTGGTTTAAGCAAGAGAGATTTATTTTCTTACAGTTTTAGAAGCTAAGAGTCTGAGATCAAGGTGATGACATGTTTGGTTTATCCTAAGTCTTCTCTCCTTGGCTTGCAGATGGCCACCTTCTCCTCATGTCCTCACATGGCCTTTACTCTGCACCTATACTCATGACTCTCCCTCTTAAGAGAGTTGGATTAGAGCCCATTCTGACCTAATTTATATAATTGCTTCTTTAAAGGCCCTGCTGCAAATATAATCACATTGTAAGATGTATTAGGAATTAAGATTTCATATGAATTGATGGGGATGTGACTCGGTCTATAACATGGGGATAACTGTTAGCAGTAGTGTGTCTGCTAATTATTTGAAGAGCAGTTCCATCTATGTTCTTATTTTTCAGGGTGAATCTTCTAATGGTTCAAATGATAGAGGAATGAAATCACTGGTAAATAAAATGACTGTGGCTTTGAAGACAAGATCTGTTAATGTCAGAGAAAAAGTTATCAGTTTTATTGAGAATACATCAACTCCTGTGGACCGGTGAGTTTTCTTACACAGTCTCAATTTGTTTTTTAATTTTTTATTATCATTAGCAATGCATATTAATTGTACAAATCAGCAGGTTTCACTGTTACATTTCCATTTATGCATATATTGTGCTTTCATGAGTAAATAAAACTAATTACAGTAAGTAAATGTCAGTTGAAAGTGTTCTAGCAAAGGATCATGAAGTACTTTTCTGTTAGAAAGTTTCATGGTTTTTATTATAAGGATGTACTTTATTGTTATAAAATTTGGCTATCAAGATTCCTCGCCTTTTGTACTGCTTAGAATGATTTACAAATAATGATTCTGCCCCTTCATTTAAAAACAAATACTCAATTGTCAGCTTTATATGGTGGTACAGACTTGTAATCCCAGCTACGCAGGAGGCTGAGGCAGGAGAATCACAAGTTTGAGTCAAACCAGAAAATTTAGCAAGACCTTGTCTCAAAATGAAATTAGAAAGAAGGTCTGGGGATTTAGTTCAGTGGCACTGCACCTGCCTCGCGCAAGCACAAGGTACTGAGTTTGATCTCCAGTACCAAAAAGAAAAAAGAAATTAGAAAGGCTGGGTGCATAGCTCAGTAGTAGAGTGCTTACCTAATATGCACAAGGCCCTGGGTTCCAGTCCCTGAATCCCACCAGAAAAAAAAAAAAATCCTTAAATGTCTCAATATGTATTATATTTTGTGATACCTGCTTTGCAAATGTCAAATGAATGAGGGAGGAGTCATCTGTTCAAATATAGTGATCTTATAGAACTTCTTTCTCTGCCCCTTTCTCTGCCCCAGGAGTTTAAAACTTGGTAATTTGGTCATGCTAAATATGGCAGGATCCAACTTTCTTAAGTTTAGATCTTCATACAATTTTTTTTTTACAAATATGAGCAAATTCCATTTCCCTTGTGAATTATAAACCAGAGATGTAATGAACAATTGATAAACGAGTTTGAAAATTATCTTTTATTACTGCTTATTATAACTATGCATGCATATTTTTTCATGTATTAATTTAATTGATCTTTGTTGTTCCTAGAGTTCAAATCTAACCTTGTAATTGTAACACAGAAGTTGTTTCTAAGTAACTCAGATCTTGGAAATGTGTTATAGTATTTGATTTCATTTTCATGTCTTATAGTATCTTGGGAAAGTTGAAATGTTGAATTTAAGAACTGAATGTTAGGAATTTGCTCTTTATCTTTTTATTTAGTATAGTACATATACATACAAATGTACATGTATTCCCATTCAATAAATAACAAAGAAGATAATGGGAGCTGGGTGTGGTGGTGCATGGCTGTAATCCCAGCACTGGGGAGGCTGAGGCAGGACTATCTCCACAAATTTGAGGCCAACCTGAAATACAGGACGAGATCTTGTCTCCAAAAAATTTAAAAAAAAAAAAATAGTGTGTTATTGTCACTAAACCAAAAATTTGTACCTTATCTAGTCTACTAATAATTAAAGCATTTTTCTCAAGCCTGAAAAAATTGGTTTGCTCAGTAATATCTACTCTCAAAAGCCTCTTTAGTGCTTCTGAATTACAGTATTATTACTGCTACATTTTATGGCATGAACATTTAAAATTTTATTTTAAAATGGCATTGTAAAATAGACTAGTGATAATTGCAAGTTCTTTGAAGATGTCATTAAAATATCACTTAAAACTAGCTTTTCTTAATTTTTCTTTGTACTTGAAATGATTGAAATATTTTCTTGTATAATCTGGGTTAGAAAACTGATTATACTGTTGTATTTATTTATAATCATTGTGTTCTGTCCTCTACCTTAATTTACTATAGAATGTCTTTCAATCTTCCTTGGCCAGACAGATCATGTACAGAGCGGTAAGCCAATGAGTAGAGCAGCTTTATCAAATCATCCTTTCCTTTAGCATGCCTCATGCTATCTATAAATGCCTTGTGCTGTCTGGCTAAAATTTCATGCAGCTATTTCAAAACGTAGCTGATCTTTTCTCATTCTCCTTGTAGGAATATGTAATCCTGATGAATCTGTTTTTGTTTCGGTTTGGGTTTCTTTGTTTGATCATTTTAATTTTATTATTGCATGTTTCCATCTCTCATTTCTAAAATAGAAATCAAACTCCTTCACACCTAAGAACTTCATAAGCCCTGAAGTTTTTATTCTGAGACAGGGGAAGGTGAAACAGAAAGTATGTATGCAGTCAAGTGTTGGCAGGGTTTTAGCTTTGGAGATAATTTACTACAGTGCTGTCTCGTGACTTATCAGAAAATTATAGTACCAAAAAATGAACATTTCACAGTTCCAAAAAAATTATTTTGCCAATGACTAAATCCAAGAGCCCTTGTACATGCTAAGTATCCACTCTACCATGGAGCTATATCCCAACCTCAAAAAATTTTAAATTTGTTTACATTATATACATTTACATTTTCATATATTTCAATTTTTATTTATTGTTACTGTTCCTACACAGTGCTAATTATAAGGCATTCTTTCAAAGGAAATTGATTCTTTAAAAATTTTAATCTGTTTGTGAATCATCTATTTTCTCCTGTTAAAGGGCCATTGAGGTAGTCTAATTTTATTTAACTCCCAAATTTTCTCCTAGATTCTTAATTTTTTAGCTTATCTTCTGATATTCATATGCAGGTATATTTATCTTTAAAATATAACTTAATTAACAGAATGAATTGAGTTTCTGAGCTCAGTAAATTAAGTAAAAGCCTGTCCAAACTATTTTGTAGGTGTTTCTGTTATTACTTTGGCCCAAAAATTGTAAGTATACTGATTTTTAGAAATAGTCCAACCAAATCTCAGCATTAAAAAATATAAAAACCAAACCATTGAATTTCATTAACTTTCAGCCAGACTTAAGAAACATCTCAGTAATCATCAGCATTCTTATTCATAAAAACTTTAAATGGTTTTATAAACTACACAAAAAATGAATAGCTTGCTTTTTAGGGTTGTTTTTACCATACTTACTTTCTGTTATGGTTTTCAGGCATTTACTGTAAGCATGATCTTTATTATTTCTTTATTGCTTTTTCGTGTTCTAGCAGTTTATTCTTTAATAAGAGAGAACCTGTAATTTAATCTCATGGAAATTTATAATCTAGGCACTAAAGCATTTCTAGATAAAGCTGTTAGTTTTTCCTTTTGATGGAAAACTGAATCTGAGTTTGAAAGTTGTTTGAACTGCATATTTCTGTCATCAAACTCTGCCTGTGTTCCTCAGCTTTCCATTATTGTACAAAACACCTGAAATAATCAGTTTAAGAAGAGGAAAAGTTTATTTTTGCTCACTGTTTTGGAGAATTCAGCTCATATCTTTCGGCAGGGAGCATATCATGGTGAGGAGAGCATAGAGGAGCAAAACTGTTCACCTCAGCTGGGCATGGTCGACCATGCCTGAAATCCCAGTTACTCAGAAGCCTAAGGCAGAAGGACTACAAGTTCCACCCTACCCTGGACAATTTAGCAAGACCCTGTCTCAAAATTGTAAAAAGGTTGGAGATGTAGTTCAGTGGTAGAGTGCTTCCTTAGTATGCACAAGGCCCTAGATATCTAGTAGTGTGTGCACATTTGCATGCATACAGCACACACACACACACACACACACACACGCATGCACCCCCAAAAAACCTGGTCATTTAATGGTGGGGATGAAAGAGAAAGGAAGGGCACACCTCCTGTGACCAAAGATCTCCCAGTAGGCTCCACTTCTTAAAAAGTTTCTACCACCTCCCTGTAGCACAAAACTGGGGTAATGCCCACAGATTTGAACTAAAACTAATGAACATAGTTCAGTAGTTTATAAGAAAATTCTGATTAAGATAACAAAATTATGTGGCTTTGACTTCTAATTTAATCAAACTTTATGTATTATCTGACCTAACTTTTAGTTCCCAAAGAGTATTTGTTATATGCTAAACTCTCATTAGATTTTTTTTGAATATTGTTTTAGAAGAACTAAAGACTTAATTCTGTTTCAACTTAATTAGGTGATGATAAGACTTTCATTGATTATATATATTAAAATTAATATATAGATTTGATCTCTGTCTTCTGGGAAAACTGAATTCTTAAAGATATGTAACTTGATTTTGATGCATATTGGAATACCTTTTAAAAATAGAAGATTCTGTCTTCGTATATAACAAAGAAAGAAAAACGACAGTCTTCCTTTAATATTTGCTAATCTTAACTGAATCTTATCCTACAAATAAAACAATGCTTTTCCCCTAAGAAAGGAGTAGTATTTTGTTCAGATGTTTTAATTTCACCTTTTGGTTTTGGATTACCTAAAAAGTAATCAGGTGTGAATTTTTACATTAAAGAGAGGTCAAACTTCCTGCAGAACTAAAAAGGTTTGAATGTACATGTCATTTATGTTTCTGCCATTTGAAAAAAATGGCAGATTCATTTTCATGGTTTATATTTATGCAGCAGAATTACTATCTTGGTTTTGATTAAAACAAAAGTATTAGTAATAAAAATGGGAAGAAAAATTCTAAGACACTTGGATGTATAAGAGAAGCCTTGAGCACTCTCGCTGGAATTTGAATACTTAATACCATAACCTTGTTTTGTCTAGTAAACTGTATGTAGCACTTGCTATATACTAAGCATTGCTCTAAGAGCTTTTTGAAATAATTAACTGATTTAATTCTCACAATAACCCTGAAGGATAGATATTGTTATCACCATTTTACAGATGAGGAACAGAAGCGCAAAGAAATTAACTTCCTTAAAGGCAAACAGATCTCAAGCATTGGTTTTAAGTGGCTGATTGAAATTATTTAAAAATAAATTTTACTTATTTAAGAGTATTCAGCCTATCAAGTCACTTTTGCTGACATATTTTATCTTCTTTCAGTTTCCTTAACATAGCTATCTGAAAGCTATGGGTGATCCATAGGTAGCAAAGAATATTTACGTTTGTTTGAATATCCAGTGATGCTTGGTGGAAATTTTTGGTAACTCCTTAAATGATATTTTCCCTAAAATTCTTTGAATATAGGCATGTGAGCAGCAGTGACAGAGTGGGCAAGCCTTACCGTGGTGTAAAGCCGGTGTTCAGCATTGGGGATGAAGAAGAATATGACACAGGTATAGTAATACCCACATCTACAGACCGTTTCCTCCGTCCTCAGGAGTGATTATAGAGATCATCCCTGGAATAGCATACAACTTCTCTGTAAGACAAAACAATGAACTTCACTACGGGAAAGTGGAGAGTTTGTAGGTTGTTATTAAAACTTCAGTTTTGTCAGGCATGGTGGCACATGCTTGTAATCCTAGCACTTGGGAGGCTGAGGCAGGAGGATGGCCATGAGTTCAAGGCCAAGCTGTCTACATAGTTCAAGGCCAGCCTGAACTGAACTACGCTGGGAGACCCTGTCTCCAAAAAACTGTGGTCACTTCAGCAGCACATATAGTAAAAAAATAAAAACAAAAAACTTCAGTTTTAAAAATCTTAAATTGTGCTTACTAGAAATCCAAAAGTAGGCTTTTGACTGAGACGAGGTCTATGCTGATGATAATGTGAGGGTTATCAGTATAGAAGTCATATTTAAATCCATAGGTTTGAATTTAAATTCCTTTAATTGCCCATTGTGAGATTGTGGGACTGGAATTCAGAGAATTCCAAAATTGAAACATCTGAAAAGAGCCTTTTGAAACTGGAGGCAATATCCTTAAGGGCCACAAGGTGGGGATATTGTGGCAGGGAAATTTATATTGTGTAGTTATCTTTATTTAAATTTAAAAAAATTACTTTTGTTTATAATTCCATCGCAGATTGTCCTGATTAATAATAATTAAAGACTTCTCAATTTTATCTTGTATTCAGTATGACATCTTTCCACTTAGTAATAATGTTACATATTTTCCTTTCAGGCTATGTATCTCCTGAACTTTTTCTGTCATATACTAAAATTTATTTAATCAGTCTTTTTCTGATTCACTTTAGTGTTTGTCAGTGTTTTTCTGTTTCAAACGGCAGTATACACAGAAAATATTTAGATGACCTTTTTAGAGTATATCCAAAGGGTAAATTCTTTTTTTTGGTACCCACAATCCAACTCGGGACCTTGTTCTTGTGAGGCAGAGGGTGGAACCACTGAGCTAAATCCCCGGCCCCAAAGGGTAAATTCTTAGCAGTAATACTGTTACATTAGAGGAGGAAGCACATTAGATATTTTCAAGTTATTACAAAATCACTCTTCTTTCTGAATTCTAAATTATATTTCTAATTCTTTTTTTTTCTTTTTTTCTCCTTTCTTTGTTGCCATATTCCTATTATTAGTCTTTTTCTCTCTGAATATCTCAACTTCCTCCATTTAAAAAGGGGAGATGAAAATGGATGAATAAAATTGTGGTATACAGTATTTACATTCATCATATTTATATATCATACCTGTGATACATATTACCCATATTTATCACATATTTGACACTATAGAGAATTGGGCAGCAATGAAAATGAGAAAAACTAAAGCTATGTGTATCAACAGGCACAAATTTAACATTGTTGGGATAGGGTAGTAATGGCAGAAGAATGCAATTAAGTGGGCTAATTTTCATAAACATTTTGTTGAAACTGAAAAATGCTATTGTATGTAATTTAGGAATATTCATATATAGTTAAAAACAAAGTCTGTACAGAACTGATAACACCCAATAGAGGTTATTTCTTTGTGGGGAAGGGAAAAGGATGTGAGTAGTGAGAGATACATGTAGGTGTCACTTTTAAGCTGGATACGTGAGATTTCTTTTATATGTCTCTATATTTTGAAGTATTTATTAAAAAGCTAAGATAACACTTGTATTAACCCCAGAACCTGTAATTCTTCTGTCTTAAGTTTGAAAAGCAAAATTAGAATTTTTATATTTTTCTCATTAAATAATGATTTTTAAAATTTATCCCAGGAGTGATTTTTTTTTTCCTTTTTAAATTATATTCTTAGTATTTTCACCCAACTTTCTTACTGTATAAAGAGATGTTTTATAATAATGTTTCTATATTAGTATCCATACCATAAGGAAACAGAGTAGCTGAGTTGTAATTTTTTTTTTTTTTTTTTTTTGGTCCATCAAACCCATTGGTTCAAAATACTACTGAAATTACTTTTTTAGGTTGTTAGGAAATGTACTGTTTTTAAAGTTGGCAATATCCACTTTTAATACTTTACATTTTTTTGTAGATGAAATTGACAGTTCTTCAATGTCTGATGATGACAGAAAAGAGGTTGTAAACATTCAGACTTGGATAAACAAGCCAGACATCAAGCATCATTTTCCTTGTAAAGAAGTGAAAGAAAGTGGACACATGTTTCCTAGGTACTTTAAAAGATGTCTTTAGAAGTAAAATTGAATTTGTAGAAGTTAATAATATAAAACTGAATTTCAAAAGACCTTTTATTTATCCAAGTATAATAACATATAACCCTTCTGTTAACTTGTTATCTTGATTTTTTAAATATTTGTGTAATTTTTATTTTGAAAATAGTATATTGAACACCTCTATCATAATCTCCTAGATTCACTTACTATTAATAAGCTTTTCATACCACTCCCTTTATGTATGTACATACGTACACACATACACATATACTTCTTTTTTGTCAAACTATTCCAAAAAAGTTGATGTTACACTTCACACCTGAATTCTTCAGCATAAATTTCCCAAGAATAAGGACATTCTTCACAACTCCAGTGGCATTACCCCAACTAAAGTGCTTAAAATCTAGTATCACTCAAAGTACAGATCATACTCAAGAGTTTTCAGAGTATCCCCAAATTATCTTTTGTAGTATCTTTCCTTCTGGATGTTAATAATTCTGTGATCGTTTTGTCTTTAGATCCAGTCACAGAATATTATAAAGTATGTAAGGAAGCCCAACTATTGCCTACTAATCTTTGATATTAAATACAGACTATAGTGTGTTGACTCAGAACAGTTTTAAATATAGAGAATCCCATTAAAATTAATCAGAAATGACTATTTTAATGATTTATATATTTATTGAATTTACAGAGTATTATGCCTTTTATATGGTTGCAGAATTACATTAATAAAATATTTATTTTGCATATAATTAAAAGGTATATAGTTTATAGATTATCCTTTTTATATTTTTTAACTCAAAAGTAATTTCATTTAGAGATGAGCACTTTTTATAATTGGGTTTATTAAACACCTCTTTTGAATTATATTTAATTAGCATTCTTTTTTTCTTTTAATGTTCTCTCTTCTCGCTCAGTCATCTGTTGGTTACTGCAACACATATGTACTGTTTAAGGGAGATTCTTTCCCGGAAAGGATTGGCTTATATACAGTCTCGACAAGCACTAAATTCTGTTGTTAAAATTACATCCAAAAAAAAGCATCCTGAGCTAATTACCTTCAAATATGGAAACAGCAGTGCTTCAGGAGTAGAAATCTTGGCTATTGAAAGGTAAGATGTTTCTTAGAATATTATCTGAATTATTGCGAGTTATTATTAAGCACATTTTTTCATCTGTTTTGGGGAATGGATGGTGGAATAGGATACTTGAAACACTTTTATAGTATTCCTTGCTATCTTTTTCTCCCCAATCCTTAGTCATATGTAGTTTAGCCATTAGTACATAATTTCAGTTAGTGCCATAGCTGATTTTATAACCCCCTCTCCCAGCCCATGCAGTACTGGGAATTGAACCTTGCACTGAGCTACCAGCCCTCTCCCCCCTCTCCCCTGCCCAATGTTTGCTTTTTAAAAAGTAAAAATCTCTTGACTATAATAATAAATGATATATTCATCCAAACAATATATTCAGCCTATAAAAATAGAAAAATATAAAGAACATGTCCCCTAAATCCTATCATATTAACACTTTGGTGACTACCTTTTTAGATAGCTTTCTATACATATGTATACATATATTAAAAACTAAATTAATATAGGCTTTTGTAGTGTGATTTTTAAAAATATATAATATGAATATATTTACATTTTAATAAATTCTTTGTAATGGTTGATATTCTTTTATGGATATTCTCAGGGGATTGATTTGAGCAGTCTCCTTCCTGTTGATTGGCATTTGGATTGTTTCCAGTTTCACTGCTAATACATTTTTAATAGACCTTTCTTAAAATCCATATTTATGTACTTGTCCAGTTGTTCTCCCTGGGCCAAAGAGTATACAATTTTAATATCTATCAGTTAATCCTAAAAAGATATTTGAATTATTACTCATATATAGTACTAATCAATCATTATGTTTAGGGCCAGGGATGTAGCTCAGTGGTGCCACACCTGCAAGCACAAGGTCCTGAGTTCGATCTCCAATATGGGGGGGTGGGTGTTGTCTTTTAAAGGTTTTTTTATAAGTTGTAATAAAGACATTGGATTTCTTATATGTAGATAAACACTTACTTTAAATCCAAAGTTTTGGAAGATAGTCATAATAGTTGAGGATAAATTAACCAGATTCCCTTCCCCTCTCCTTGCTCATAGCTTCTACAGTTCTCTGTACTATCTTACATATATGCTACTTACAGATGAAATATGCAGTGGAATTTTTGTTAGATTTTATCCAAAGTGTTAAAATAGCATTTTCATATTAAAATAGCATTTTTATATTCTTGGAAAGGAAAATGATTATTTAATTTATGGTGTTAATATTTTATAGTAATTATGCATTTAATTTAAAAAATATTTCAGATCCTGTAATTATTTAATGTACATAATCCTCTAAAAAATTGGGGTAACTGTACTTATATATATGTGAATCTGTTTTGGGGAAATTTAAGTTACTTGCTCAAGATCAAACTACTAAGTATAGAAATTATCATTTGGAATTAGAAACCGTCAAAGTATGATTTTGTAGCTGATTACATCTATGATGGGCACCAAACATTCTATTTGGTTGCCTTGTGTTTTATTATCTAGCTATCATGTATATTTAATAATCATAAAGAGAATTTTGGCTCTGCGTTGTGTGAAAAATCACATTGCTTTTATGTTTATATTTTCTTTCAAAATAAGCTTTGGTGTATCTTTTGAAATAAGTATAGAAAGTACACAGGAGAAGATCTCTCCTGGCTTTATGGGTCAGGGAAGTCTTCCCATCAAAAGTGATATCTCAGCTAAGTTCTAAAGGGAAAGTACTACATTAGTGTTTTTTTTTTTCCTCCATAGGTATTTGATTCCAAATGCAGGGGATGCTACCAGAGCCATAAAACAACAGATCATGAAAGTTTTGGATGCATTGAAAAGTTAATATAAAAGAGAATTACTTAAATGAAATTAATGCAACCAAGAGAAACATGAACACATATTTACTGACTGAATACTAACCAGAGACCTTTCATTTGCTTATGGGGGTTCTTGAATGGTGGTTCTAAGTGTAAATTATTACAATCAATTTCTGGATGATTAAACTTTTTTTAAAACTTCTTTTTCAGTTTTATAAAATGATTTATTATAAAGGTCAGTTATTAAAGGACTTTGAAGAAATTGTCCTCGTGCCCTTATGGACAAAAGGATGCAGAATGCAGTTCTGTTTTGAAGAGCTGTTTTAAAGGAACTTGCATCACTTTCAGGTTTTAAAGCAACCATACACATATATTTGCAATGTCTTCACTGAAAATTAGAGATAGAATTAGTTGAAGAGACTTCCTTAATTGCTAATTTAGTTTTACCCCCTGAGCAATATCAGAAACTAAAAACATAGGTTAATAATTAGTTCATTGTTTCAGCCATCAGTTTCTAAGTCATCTTTGCTCCACTAGGTAACTATTTGAATACTAAGTGCTTCAGGAATATTAAATTTCATCCTAATGGTTTCTAAGGAGGAATTGAAAGTATTATAATGAGCTGGTAGGCATGTTAAGATTGAAATTAGCATTTTGGGGACAAAATTGTATGGTATCTTTATTACAAGTGAATTATTTAATTTAGCTTATTTCAGCACAAATGTTGAGCACACATTGATTTGCCTGAGATGATGATCAGTCCACACTAATATCCACTTAAATAAAAGCCAAATAAGCAGAGCTGGGTGGGTAAATTTCAGTTGTTTTTATACCACTTTCTGAAATTTCTTTTTGTTCTTTTGGTGTATCTTCCATTAAAATTTCAGTGCTTTGAGACTATTTTTATTTTCTTGATGTGACAAAACTGAAGTGATCTGCGTTATTTTACAGTTTTCTAAGCTTAATTTTTTGTGGCCCATATTAAGTACTAAGAGATCCAAAAACACTTCGGGGGTCATGTGATATTTTAAATATCTTTTTGAGAAATAGCAAATATAATCTGCCATGTCCTAAAATGCAACAGATTATCTCTGGGAGGTTGATAGAAATACCTAGATGTACCCTGTTAATAGCCAGTTATTTTAATTTACATAATGGAAATCAAGTGAATAAAAGGAGCATAGTTCAACAAGTTTTATTCTTATATCTAAATAAAAGCAGTTTGAGTGGTTGAAGACATCTGCATGAAATTGCACCTAGTGCAATACTTGATATTTATAACTCTCCCCCAAAACTGTTGTATTGCAATTTTTCCTTTTTCTTGGCATTCCCTTTAGAAATATCTTGAGGTCTTATTTTTTGCCCATTTTAGCCATGGGACTTTTCATAATATTAATGTAAAGATGTTTGTGTTACTGTTTATATATTACAATTGTAAATAAACTGGTACAGTTTGCTCAGAGTGTTGTTTTTAAAGACAGTGTCTCTTTTTTCTTTCTCCCCATTTTTAAATGTCTAGATGCTACAAAATTAGAAAGTTCTGGGCCTGGGACTTAGCTCAGTAGTTCTGCCGCCTGCCTCTCAAGCGGAAGGACCCGAATTCGATCCCCGGCACCAAAAAACAAAACAAAACAAAAAAAGAAAGTTGAAAACTCTTCAAGTTTAAATGTTTAGATTTCATATTTCTATTGGATTCCTGTTTCTGTTCATTAAGAAGAGAGGAAAAGGGCCGGGGATTTAGCTCGGTGGTTCCGGCGCCAGCCTCGCAAGTGTACAGTCCCAAGTTCAGTCCCCGGTACCAAAAAAAAAAAAGGGTGATGTTTACTATTTGGGCCGGGGATTTAGCTCAGTGGTTCCAGCGCTTCCCTCGAAAGCACAAGGTCCGGAGTTCAATCCCCAGTACCAAAAAAAAAGAAAAAAAAAAGAGAGGAAAAGAGATAGTTGAAAACTAAAAATTAATGATATACTCTGGCCAGAATGGCACCCCATAGTCCCAGCTACTCAGGAGACTGAACCAGGAGGATTACCTGAGCCCAGTAGTTGGAGGCAAGCCCGGGTAACAGATACTTCTTTAAAAAAAAATCCCAAATAATATTAAAGTCCACACATGGTAAATTACTACCTTGAACTAGGTAGCCTCTATGAACTTCATTTTTCCTCATCTGAAATAACACCAAAGTTAGATTAGATTAATTGTAATTTACTTGATACACCTTGGAAGAATTATTGCTCATTAAGGTATAATATTAACTATCTTTATAGAATGATTCCACTTGCTCACCATTGATAACATGTTTCCTGTTAGGATAATAAATTTGTATTGATATAACACAATCATTTTTGCCACTGGGATATTTTATATTGTCTTGATACAAAGTACTTGGCTTCTTTTTAGTGCTAATCTTTTCAACAACCACAGTCTCTGTTGCCCCAACTTTAGAGGCACTTCGTTTCTGACCAAGCTTCACATCATTTGGCTCTGCTTTTGCTCCTGATTCTCACTGTAAATCTGGCAGAAAGCAGTCATCAGTATCCATGCCACAGACTGAATATTGGGCTGCCTTGACATGTCCTCCATCTGCCTGTCACCTTTAAATTCAGCCTCACACAAAATCTTAGGACAGGGCCAGGGATTTAGCTCAGTGGTTCTGCCGCCTGCCTTGAAATCACAAGGTCCCGAGTTCGATCTCCGATACCAAAAAAACCCAAACAAAATCTTAGGACATAGGCAAAATGTAGGTAAGTTCTTTCCCAGAATGTAACATGCATGGCCTGTAGTGCAGTTTCCAGTAGAGTCCTTACTCCCTTATTCATAAGCCTGGCCCTTATTGTGCACATTCTCATCATTCTGGCTAAAATTGCCCATCACCACTCTGACTAGAATTGCCTGTCAAGTTCTGCTTACAACATTTTAGGGCTTCTTCTCCCTGATTGGTTGACTCCAGGTCAGAAACAGCACAGTGGAAGGGCATAGCAAAGGAAAGCTGTTCAAACCATAGCAGCCAGGAAGCTGAGATGAGGAGCCAGGAATAAGAATATACTGCCTGGTCATGCTTCAGTAACATCATCTCCCTCCAGGCCCTACCTCTAAGCATGAGACTTTGGGGGACATTTTAGATCTAAACCATAACACCAGCATATATACATAGAAATATAATTGTTAGATGTACATGGATATTAGTGTCCTATTAGGATTTTTTCTTTATTTAAAAATTTTTTTGAAATAGGGTCTAGGTTGCTAAATTGTCCAGGCTGAATATGAACTTGTGATCATCTTGCTTCAGTGTTGGGATTAAAGGTATGTATACCGTTCTTGACTTATTTTAAAGCATGTAATTCAGTGACATTAAATGCACTCAATATATATTTTGGCGGGCTCCTTTTTTTTTTGAGATGGTCTAAGTTCTGACTGGCCTTAAACTCATGTATCCCAGGCTAGCCTCAGACTCCTGGTAGTCCTCATGCCTCAGCCTCCTGAGTGCTGGAATTACAGACGTGGACCACCATGTCTGGCTTAGGATTTTCTTTTCTTTTTTGGTACCAGGGATCAAACTCAGGACCTTGCACTTTTTACTGGTACACTTTTGACATACATAGTGATCACATTCATCATAGGGAATTTGTACCTGTATAGAATATATCTTGGTTTTTCTTTTGTTCCCCATTCCTCTCCCCTCCTTTCAAGTTTTCTCCCCATTTACAAAAGGTTGGTTTCCATTTTTCCCCTATTCTTTTTTTTCCTTTTCCCTTCCCTTCCCCCTCCTCCCTCTCTTGTTCCCCTTCCCATTTGAACATTTGCATCCTATTTCCCAATATCATTCGTTTTGCTCCTTATTCACCCTGTTGTTTCTCTCACAAAAGGTGTTTTCACATTTTTTTTTTTTTGGTACCGGGGATCGAACTTGGGACCTTGCACTTGCGAGGCAGGTGGCGGAACCACTGAGCTAAATCCCTGGAACTTATAAGTACTGCATGCTAACGGATTGTGCCACTGGAGCACCCCACATTTCTTATATGATCCTTTGAACTAATTTGTGAAGAGGAAAAAGTTAAAAAATTCATACTGACCTATTTTTTTAATGAATACAAGGTATTTCCGCTGCATGCTCAGTGCTTATAGCAGTGCCTGACATGGAGTGGAGCTTATCTTTTGTTTGCTGAACAGAGAAATTAAAACAAGAACAGAGATTCCAAACTGGTGGCTTATAGCTGAAAGTGACATTTCATGTGGCCATAAGTTCTGCAGTTTTAACTAAGTGGCAACATTTAAAAGTGAAGAGATTCTTCTATAATTTGGATAGTTGCCTTCTAATAAGTAACATTTATTGATTTGACATTTCATGTAAAGTGGTTTTTTGTTTTGTATTTTGTGGCAGTGCTGGGAATCAAACCCAGGACCTTGAGAACGTGAGGTAAGCAAGTACTCTGCCACTAGTTATATTCCCAGCCCCAATTACTTTTTTAAGCATTTACATTGTTTTATAATCGTCAGAAAAATCCTATGCTGTATGTACTATCTCCTGTTTATGGATGGGCAATAAAGGCGCTGTAACTTATACCAAAACATGCAGTTGGTGAATAGTACTACTACTACTACTACTACTACTACTTCCAGAGTTCATTCTCATAGCTTCTATACTAGCCCTCTTTGCAGTGTGTTGGCCTGGAAACTGTAGGTCAGAGCTAATGACCTGGAGTTCACTATTGTTTTTTTCTTTTAAATTGGCAGCTTTACTTCATAGGTACCTGTCTAGTGGGAATGTTAAGTGGTCTTCTCTGTGTACATTAACTTGCCCAAAGTCACACAATCTATCAGCAAAGTTCTGAATTCAGATCTTCTGATTTATGGACAGTTGCACCAGAAATTTAAATACAACTATGTATTTATGCAGGTGTATGCATATTAACAGAAACATAGGCTCCTTTCTCCTTGTAAAAAGCTCAAATCCAATATGATAATTTCCAAGTTCAATCTTTTGCTTTCAGTAGTATCATATTCTCTCCTTGGATTTTATCATCTGTTAGATTCTGCTCTTATTCTGCAAATGACTGCAATTCTAATTTTCAGCTCCTTCTCTCTCCCTTATTTGCATATCCACCTCACCCCTGAAAGCAAAACTCATGTTCCCCAAGACTAACTTATCTAATTCTATGAAGGAGTGATTGGAGGAATGCTAACAGAAAGGAAACCAGTTATGAAGAGCCTGTAGCAGTCTCCCCAAAGTGAGGAGGGTCTAGCTGTGGATAGTGGTGATGGGAAAAGATAGCAAGGATGTTTCATGGGACAGTTAAAAGGGCCCTATCCCTAACCATAAGTGGGGGATGAAAGATTTGAAAGACAAAGAAGTGGCTTAGATTTCTCCCCTTTTTTGAAGGGTTGGAGAGTAGGAGAAATTGGAAAACCTGGCATAAATGGTGGTGAAAATGAGTAAAAGGGCTGTGAGGAGAAGCTCTTTTGGAGACGAAACTTAGTTTCATATTAATTCAGCTTGGACTGTTTTGGGGCAATGAAGTGCCAGAATCCTAAAATAGAACACTAGCAAGTAGATTTCAGTATATCAGGGTGATTTGTTGTTGAAAATACTGCGTTCGAACCTTCAACATTTCTTTTCCTCTTTATATAGATCCTACCGACGCCTAGCATGCCCAAATTAATCAGGGTCCTTCCATCCCAGCCACAGAGATTTTGTTCACAAGGGTTAAGCCAATCAACAGACGGTGTTACTCTGGCCACACAGGTGATCCAACCAGCAAGAAGTCAAGAATCGGCCGACACTAAGCATCAGGACTTTTCCATTCCGGAGAAGTCGCTTTTAAACATTTACCAACACAACACCACGACTCAGCTCCCCTTTGCTCCTCTTTGCAATCTTCTTTTCGAGCTGCGTTGTGACTAACCCTTTTGCGGTCTGTGCTATCGCGAACAACTGGTCCTTAATGGGGGTTTGGGGCAGGGATGTAATTCAGCAATAGAGCGCATGCTTAGGATGTGCAGGGCCCTGGGATCCATCCGGAACGCGAGAAAAATATTGTACCTCCCAAAACAAAACAAAAAAAATCTTAGGGTCGGGGATTTAGCTCAGTGGTTCCGCCGCTTGCCTTGCAAAGGAAAGGTCCCGAGTTCGAGCCCCAGTACAAAAAAAAATCTGCACAGGCAAACAGCACACCCACCTGGCGGTGGGCGGAACCTCCGACGCAGCGGTCCTGTCCTCAGGCTTGCTCGGTCCCCGCCCCTTCCGGCGCGCTGGCTCCCTCCCTCGCGCGTCCGCTTTGTTCTCGCTGTCTGCGGATGGCCCTTCCAGGGAGAGCCATGGCCTGTAAGTGGCGCGGCTGGTTGCTGAGCTGCACACGGCCAGAGGGGAAGCTTTAGTGTGGCACCGCCGAAGATCAGCGCGCCTAGCCCCCCTGGGTGCAGGTGTCCTGTTGGGTGGTGGGCCGCGGAGGTGGAGGGTGCCCCGGCGCGTGCCTGGGGTCTCCAGGTTCCGCGGAGACCGGAGAAGTGGCCGGAGACGTGGTGAGAGCACCAGGCCTCCAGGCCACCCTGGCTTGCGCCCTGCCCCTCCACGACCTGCCTCACAGAAGCTGACCCACTGGTGAGGTGTTGTGGGTTGTGTATGGTGTTTTCAAGTTTCGTGGGCCACATTCCCATCTACCTTCACAAAACTGCCCACATGATTCTTACTCCCCATCTCACTTAACACTTCCAGATTTTGGCTTGTCATTTGTTCAGAAATTTTGTGCACCTCCCCCCGCTTTCCTTATCTATAAATGTTTATATATTTAAAGGACCTGGCATATCCCTTTAAATGTATTCCCATGTTGGTCCTTGCACTGAAGGTATTTTATCTTTTTCCCCCTGGTGGATGTTTCACTGTGAGATTATAATGAATATTAGGGCAGGCAGGGATGGCAAAAACCATCGAGTCTCCATTTTATAGAGATGAAGTGACTAGTATCACTAGATCAGCGTAGATCTCCCTAGTGGTGGGATTTCTTTACAGCATCTCTGCAGAGTGGGTGATTTGCAGAATGACCCCAAGTTCCGTGCCTGGACAGGATGAGGGGAAGTCATCAACATAGCCATGGTGAGCTTTATTTGTCCCTTGAGTTTGTGGGATGTTCTGATGTGAGTTCAAAGTATCCATTTGTCCCAAGGTAATGTCAGCTTTTGCTTCCTGTTTTAGTGTTCTTTGTTTTTAATCCAGATTCTGAGACTGTTAACAACCTACATTTACTTGCAACACTCAGAAGCTGAGGCAGGCAGGTTGCAAGTTCCAGCTCAGCTTGGGGAATTGAACAATGTAGTGATACTTTGTCTCAAAATAAGAATAAAATAAAAAGTGTTGGGATTGTAGCTCAGTGTGAAGGCTCTAGGTTCAATCCCAAATACAAAACAGACAAACTACATTCAGGAAAAGAGCTACAATTAGCTTTTCTCCCTATATTTAGGGTAAACTAACAAATGGGCCATTTATGTTTTCATACTTCTAGGTTTAACCTTGAGCCAAAGAATACTTCATCAAGAGCCCAGGTTTTCTTATTGTGGATAATCTAATCTGACCATTAGATTGTTGGTAGTTGTGACAAGCATAAATACCTCCAGACATTTCCAGATGCTATCTTTTAGAGAACCATGACTCCATATAAATTCAGTGGTCATGTCTCTGACAAGTGTTTTCTTTTGTGTTTGTCCTCAGCTTTCCGCTTGGCCCTCATCCAGCTTCAAGTTTCTTCCATCAAATCAGATAATGTCACTCGAGCTTGTAACCTCATTCGGGAGGCAGCAAAGCAAGGAGCTCAAATAGTTTCTCTGCCTGTAAGTATGGTATTCATTCCTTTCTAAGTTCTGTAGACCTAGCAGAATTGAGTTTGTTACCTCTGGTTGTCATGTGTTCTAGGTCCAGCAGTGTCTTTTGAAACCCCAGGATTGTTCAGTGGTTGTCTTATCTTTGTCTATCACAGAGACCTTAGCAGGGTTCTTTGTCATAGGATGTCTGAACATGGGTACAGGTTTTTGTTTTGTTTTTTTTGTTTCGTACCGGCGATCGAACTCAGGTCCTTGCACTTGCACAACAGGCAGTGGAACCACAGCTAAATCCCTGGCCCAGGTACAGGTTTTTAATATCATTCGGTTCAGATAAGGAATCCTAGCACATTGAGGAACTTACTTCAAGATAAAATATTCAGTGCTTGGATACTTACTTTACTCCTTCTATATATAATTAAGTTTTTGTGGGGTGAAAACGTGCTGATTTTCTTTTTATTTTTTCCAATATTTTATTTTTTTTTAAATGACCAAAAATTGCATAGAGATATTAGGAAGCTGGCTTCTCAAAGTCAGTAGAACTCTGCATCTCTTTTGTAGGTTATTTCTTGAGCAGTGGAACCAGTTGAAGGTTGACCTACATTTTTTTGTCGTCAAGTGCAGATTTAGCTCCAGAAAGGGCTCCCCAGATGTCAGGATATGTGTTTTCTCCCGTCTTCTTCTAAAGCCTTTTGGAGGTCGGTAGTTGGCATTATTCAGATAAACCCATCCCTGTCCAGCTGTGAACAGGTAGGATTACCAGTTATCTGCTAATTTTGTCTAGATTGACTGGAGAATTTTCAGGGCCACCTCTTCTTTTAGTCAGGCTTCAGCCTGCTACAGATGTGGCCAGTGAATAGGAATATTTAACAAGGGAATTCAGGATACTACTGTTAATCCAATCTTACGGTGCCAGTCATAAGACTCACCTGTATTTGCCTAGCTGTGGTCCCTTGTTGGTTTATGTTGCTGAGGGTAAAAGCATAAAGCCTAGGAATTAAAGAACTTGAATTCTGCATATACTTAATTCACAGATTCTCTGCCATGCATCTTGTACAAGCTGGTGATCCTCAACTTTGAGCTTCCCAGCATAGTGTGTGGTACATAGGTAATGTCATTAAATGCAAAATGAGTGAATAAGATTTGCCATCTAGTAGTTTTTCCTATAGTTTTCTGATATGTCAGAGCTGATGAACATAGCCAGACTACTAATGAATAAGAGACTTTGTAGAATTAGAATGATGGTGCCAAAAGAGAACTTAAAAACAGCTTGTTTGTAGATGAAGAAATGTCCTAACCCTTATGGCTTTCAAAGCTTTTATATTTTTTATACACAAGTTTTATAGATTGATATAGATAACAATACAACTTTTGTATTTAAGAAGAATTCATCTCAATACCCGAAGTCATGTGAGTAAACTTGATTTGTAGTGTGGATTGGGTCCCCAAGGTTGGGAGCTCATCCTGCAAAGATGAGATAGAGGTAAGTCTAGCCTTTGGCCAGGATGACCAGGGTTTGGTAGAGTTCACATGAATTGCCTCCGCTAGACCCACCTGAGGAAGTTGCCTAATCTGCCTTTTGTTAAGGGCTCTTTAGGGGTTTTCTTTAATGTGTTTTGGTTCATGTCAAGGCAGAACTAAAAATAGCAGCTCTGTCTTCTTTCAGCAGAACTTTAAAATGGGGTAAATGTTTTGGTGGTTTTTTCTCTGCCAACATTATTCTAGGAATGCTTTAATTCTCCATATGGCACAAATTACTTTCCTGAATATGCAGAGAAAATTCCTGGTGAATCCACGCAGAAGCTTTCTGAAGTAGCAAAAGAGTGCAGCATATATCTCATTGGAGGTAACTTCCTTCCTTGTGGTATAATGTTCTAAACTTAAAAACATTTGAATAATGTTTGTTACATTTAAACTGTGGAACACAATTTGGCCCTTGAAAGGCATAAGTATATTTATATCTACTAATGTGGAAAAAGCTTCAAGACACACTTGTTAAGTGGAAAAAAAAGCAAGTTCAGTGTGGTTATGAGCAGAGTCCATTCAAATTAATCTCCCACACAAAAGATGGCTATGACTTTTATATGTAGTTATATATGTAAAGGCATATTAAGTATTATAGAATGACGCTGATGATTTTTTTCTGGAGAAGTAGGAGTACAGGGTTGAGTAGAAATAGGGAAAGAGAAATCATATGTATCTTTTATTATATAATATAGGATTGAGAAAAAATTTTTCATAGTGACCACAGACATAAAGATAGCTTTATTTTTGCGCTTGTGAATGACATTTTAAAATACTTCTATTTGCTAAAATAAAAATAAGCATACTAGTGGAGGGGGCTGTTGTATGCCCTTAATCCCAGCACTTGGGAGGCTGAGGTGGGAGAATTTCTGTGAGCTCCAGGCCAGCATGGGCTACGTAGTGGAACCCTGTTTAAAAAAAAAAAAAGCATACTAAAACTGTTAACTAGATATAGCAAAATTAATCTTTGTATTATGATATATTAAGGATTAGAAATGAAAAAGCAAGAAAGTGTAGAGCTGGAACTACATTCAGTGATGGAGAGCCTGTGACTTAAGTCACATCTTGAGGCCTTTTGGAATACAATCTTGTTGCAGGGCCTGGTATATTTAACTTCAGCAACAAGAAATCGTTTATTTTTCTCTAATGTTACATATTAAGTGTTGCTTAAGATGATGGCTGAATTCTAGGAACAGTTTGGCTATTTTTTAAACCTGTCTTTGGCATCTGACCTAATTGTATTTCATCTACACTTTGGAGTTTATCTTTGAAAGGCCATATTCAAGAAGAACAAGTGCTTAAGTAACACTTGAAAGAATAAACTTTATTAGATACAAGGGACAATTTATCAGGCCTGTAGTTATCACAAAATGATTGCTCCATTCTTGTTAATACTGTTTTGTGTGCCTGTTTGTTTCTTTTTGCAATGAAAGGCTCCATCCCTGAGGAGGATGCTGGGAAATTATATAACACCTGTGCTGTTTTTGGGCCTGATGGAACTTTACTAGTAAAACACAGAAAAGTAAGTAGGGAATGTGTAAATTCTTTTCCTCTTATGAATTTGCTTTGATGTCCCCTACCCCCTCTTATAATACTGTACAGGCATCATGTGTTTGGCAGAAGTAGCTGTCCTTAACTACCTGTGCTTGCATTTTTATGTTAATACAGATGACTCAGTGTGTCAGTTTCTGCAAAGGAACAACCCACAGAAATTTTTTTTTTTTTGCACTGGGGATTGAACTCGGGATCTTGTGCTTGCGAGGCAGGTGGCGGCACCACTGAGCTAAATTCCCAGCCCCTGCAGGAATTTTTTAAAAGGAGTTCATTGAATGGGGTGAGGGCACATCTTTGCAGTATTAAATGCATATACACTTAGGGTTCTAAGTTTTCCTAGTGAATAGATCTTTTTATCATTATGAGATGTCTCTTTTTTCTTGTCTTTTTTTTTCTTTGTCTTAGTTTTATCTCTGCCAATACTATAGTCACTTTTTGCTTATTATTGTTTGTCTCATACATGTTAAAGCATTTATTTTCAACTTGTATATTTGTGTCTTAAAGGCTGTCTTGTAGAGAGAATAGAGTTGGGTCTTACCTTTTTATTCATATCGACAGTTTCTGCCTTTTAACTGGAGTGGTTCATCTATTTATAATTAATTATTGATGTGGCTAGATTTAAGGTACAGATACTCATCTTTCTCTCCTTTCCCCTTCCCATTTGAAAAAGATCTATTTTCTTACTTCCTATTATCTATCTTTTATTTTGTTCTTTATCTGTATTTTAGTTTTCTTAAGAGAGAAATCACATAACATTTACACTTGTGGGTCTGATTTATTTCACCTAACATTATAGTCTCAAGGTGCACCCATTTTCCTAGAAATGACTCAAGTTTACCCTTTTTTTAAAGGATAAACTTTATAAAGTTGCATATAAATACCGCATGTTCTTTATATATTCATCTGTTGATGGACATATAGGCCATTTCCAAGATTTAGTTATTATGAATTGTGCTGCTGTAAACATGGATATGCATGTATCACTGTAATATAGTGCTGTTAACTCTTATAGGAAGATACCTAGAAGGGAAACAGCTTGGTCAAATGGAATTTCTAGTTTTAGTTTTTAGAGGAATTTCCACACTGATTTCCCTACTGGTTGTACAAGTTTATACTCCCATCAGTAGTGGAGAAGCGTTCTCTTTTCCCCACGGCCTCACCAGCTTTTGTTATTGGTTGATTTCTTGATAGTAGCCATTCTTTCTGGAGTAAGGTGGAATCTCAGGGTTTTGTTTTGTTTTTTCCTGAGAAAGGGTATTGCTGTGTAGTTCAGGCTGCTCTTGAACTCCCAGTATAGCCCAGTGGCCCTCAAACTCATGAAGATCCTCTTGCTTCAGCCTCCCGAGTGCTAGGATTACAGGCATGCACCACCATGACCGGCTCAGTGTTGTTTTATTTATTTATTTATTTATTTTATTTTTTTGCTTAAATTCTTTTATTGGTACATTTTAGGTATACAATATGATTACATTTATCATTGGGTGCTTGTACCTGTATCTTGGTTCTTATTTTTTCCCATTACCTGTGCGTACTTTCTCCCTTCCCTATTTACATAGACTTTGTTTCCGTTTTTTCTTTTCTCATAATTTTTCCTTTCCCTTCTTTCCTTTCTCCTTCCCCTCCCACTTCCCCTACCCCTTTGAACTTTTTCTTCCTATTTCAAATTATCAATTATTCATTTTAATTATTTTAATCCTTATTTACACTTTCAGTTTCTCACCTAGAGAAACTGTTCGGTATTTACACATGTGTGTCCTATTTATTTCACTTAAGAGTATGGCCTCAATATGCATACATTTAGCTATAAATGTCTCTAGTTTCTCATTCTTTATGGCTG